TGAAGCTTTATTTTCTTTCTTTTTTTTTTCTTTTTTTGGTAAATTAAATATTCTTTGCACAAATAAGTCACTAATTCCACAGCATGCTTCTTTAAGCTAAACCATTTCAGAAATATATGAATTGCAATCAAGATATGTTTTCATTTCACAACCATTATATTTGAAATCAATCAATTAATGTTAGAATTCCACAAATAAAATATATTTCGTTATTTTGCTTCAATACAGCATGACAGTTCAGCGTGGATAAAGAAAAAAAACAGCATTCCTAGCAAATGTCTGCATGCATCTACGCCTCTAGCGCATGCAGGGGAGTGATACCTAAAGAATGAAGCAGCTGGAAATGGTAATTTTTATATTGCTTAGTGCAAAAAATCAAACAAAAATTTGAATTAGAAATAACTGTGAATCATCAGTAATCAACTAATGTATTTTATATTAAGTTACCTGAAAAATAATGTCATCTTTTGTTTGAAAAAAAAAAAAAAGAAATAATATTGTGCCAGCCTTGAGTGATGTTACATTTTATGAACTATATTGAATAACTTATTGAAGGATGTGCACAAAAAATTAATGAATGAGAAGCAAATTAACAAATTAAACAAATGAAAATTAAATCAAGATACTTAAAACAAAATGAATATATATACGAAGTGCCGAGATGTTACACTTACTAAAAGCAAATTATTTATTCCTAATTTTATATTTGGATCCTTTTCACATGTTCATAGTCAGGGCTTTTCCCAGCGAACTGTCCATCCATCATTTGGACAGCTGCCGGCATCACTGGACAGCCAATGTTGTCAAAGACGGCTGGACAGCTTTTGAATTTGTTGGAAAAATGATGGCTTAGACTAACTGAAATTTTGTAGGAAGTTACAGATAATTTTGCCCAGCCTGTATCCATCTCCATTCAGATGACTCTCTCATATAATGGGCAGACCATTCAGTTGTCAATGTCTGGGAAACTGCACTGCTTCATATGAAAAGGGACATAGATATATATACCTGATGACCTTCTTAAATGCCCAGAATTCCTTACCTTATTTGCCACAGCGTTAACGCTGGGCCTGGCGTCCATGATGTACAGTTTGTGGGACTGCGCGTTGGCGTCCATGATCATTTGTATGTACTTCTCGTCTTCCTTGTTACGTTTGCCCGCGACGCCCACCAGGGGCTGACTGGAGCGAGTAATGGTGGCCTGGCTCTCGGGATGAATCCAGCATAATATCTACAGTTCAAAATCAAAAAGTTTCCACAGGTTCGTATGCAGAGTGGAAAAACATATTTATGAACTTGTAATGTCTTTTAAATTCAATATATGATTTCTAAGACTCTAGTGATGAACATTTTCCTTATTATGTTTTGTATAAGTGCTCATCAAAATCTACAACCAGTTTTACATAAGTACTTGATAGTTGTGAAAAAAGAGACTAAATAAATATCAAATAGAAAACCAGATGACTGAATGGAGAAGAAAGTGGGCCATTCCAGAAATCCTAAAAATGCCAGTGAGAAAGGCTGACAGCTCTACATGGTTGTTCTGCAGGACAAATACAGCCCAGATTTCTGGATAAATCCAAGGGACTTTCTCTAACTATAAGATATCTAAATGCTGAGCTACTCACAGGAAGTCGACTTCTGCTCCTGAATGCAGTAACATGGCGGACATCATCGTCTGTGGCTTGTTTTGGAACAGCAAACTGGAAGTAAGAAAAATAGGGAACATTTCTAGTTGTACATCACATTATGTTCATATACTTCTAATGCAAATTTACAACAGTCAATGTGATACGATACTGCTGCTAGTGATAACTTTTTATTCTTTTTTTTTTTTACTTTCTGATACCAGAGCCTATCTTAGTTAAAGTTTAATAAATTGTACAAGCAAGGCTGACACACTAGGATATATAACCTCTTTTTACACTGAAAATAATTGAAAATAGTTGAAGAAAACTAAGAAATACTAATTATTTATATTATTATTATTATTTCCTCGTCAGTTTTTCACTGATCTGCTGTACAGAAATGAAATTCAACACCATACTAAGCTGATAACTTGTTTCTTTCAGACATATTCTTAACTATTTACTAATATTAACAGAAGTCTCTGGGAGGACAATCTCTAATTACAATGCTTTATGCCATTATCTGAATTTGCACATATATATACAGATGTAAACTGTCCCATGTAAACTATTCAATGTCAAAACTCACCACAGGAGGGTACGTGTCTGACAGGTCATAATTTTCATTCAGCCTGCAGATCCGCCAGCTGTCATTGGGAACGTGCTGAGGAAAAATTGACAGGTTAAATTAAAGTAGTAATTTAAGTGACTTCAAGTGACAGTGACACTCCAAGAGACATTGTTGTTAGTTTTTAACTTTTCATAAGTCTCTGATCTAAATGAAAAAAAACAAAACAAAACAAAAAACTCATTTATCTATTCACAGGAACATTGAGATTCAAAAGTTTTTGTTTTTCATATTCAACAATTTAAAGTTACCTGTCTGTTAAGTTCTTTAATGGGGTCGTAGACCGCCCAGCCATTCACTTCAAACCTCTCCTGGTACTCAAATGCAAATAAAGGCTGAAAAGGAGAAAAAACTTTTTTTAAAAATAGGTTTGAAAAAAGTCTTACACTTTCTGATCAAACACGTGGGTATTCAAGAACTGTTCTGCTTTTTTTTTTTTTTTTCACATACACAGAGAAAACAAAGCCATCAAGATAGCAATTCAGTATTTTCAAAAGTGAAAGTTTAACAATAATAAATGTAATCTTTCATAGATATTTTTATGCATGCACGCACACTAATTCTTGCACATGCACCCACATATACAGGTACAAAGTTTATACCATGTCACCTACCAGTTTATTAGTGATAGGGAAAGCATATTGCACTATTTTTTCAAAGACCTGCCTCCTGGAGTGGTTCTCTTGTTTATGGGCAAACCTCAAGTTTCTGATATCCTATTAACAAAAGCAACAATTCTTAGTTATATATAGGATGCAAAACTGCCTTTTGGAATGACATAAAGCTCTCACTAAATTCCTTAACCAATATCAGGATGACTTAGGGTTAGTTTTTTTTTTATGCAGAGGCATCAGTCCAGAGTTTCACCATGACCCCTGGCTTTCTCTCTCTACAGTACAGTATTAATTTACAGTATTAAGTTGGCTGTGATTGTTAGCAACATTGTTTTGCGAGATGGGCAATTAATACCTTGCAGAACAGCTCCAGGCCATAAGAATTCTCCCCTTTACTGGTGGCTCCCCCTACTTTATCCACCCTGCTGACCACTCCTAGTGGAACGTCCAGTATCAGGTCCTGGCAAGAAAGGGGAAAATAATGGTGAATACGATCAATTATGCAATATTACACAAATTGTGTGCATCAGCAAATTTCTTTTTTTTTAGTGTTATGCGCCAGATGTAAAAACGCAGAGAAAAGTTGTTGCCAAAGGAAGGCCCAAATCAAGAGCAATGTGTTCTAAATAACAGAACCTAATTTTCTTAGAAAATGAGCCTTTAGTTTACCAAGATGGAAGTTAGATTTCTGCTTTAGAACTTACCCCTTTCCCACTCCTGAAGTACAGTCTGTAGTTGGTCACTGTCAGGGAACCCACAGAGGGGCCTGTATAAGGACACAGGTAGGTCACGTCTTTGGCTAAAATAGCATGAAATTCAGGTCATATATTTGGCTAAAATAGCAAGAAATTCAGGTCACATGTTTGGCTAAAAAAGCAAAAATTCAGGTCACATCTTTGGCTAAAACAACAAAAATATAAGTCACATATTTGGCTTAATAAGCAAGAAATTCAATCACATCTCTGGTTGAACAGGCAAATCTAGGTCACATATTTTGTTAAAATAGCAAAAATTTTAGTCACATCTTTGGATAAAATAAGAGATCAATTATTGGATAAAATACCACAATTATATGTCACATATTTGGCTAAAATAAAAAAATATATAAGTCATATATTAGGGTAAAATGAAAAAGAATCATGGTCATATATTTGGCTTACATGTAGCAAGAATTTTGTTAATGTGTTTGGGTCGAAAAAATTAGACACTGATGAAATTGGCAAACCAGGTGTGAAACCAACAAGGCAGGAAACCTGTCAAATGTAACGTTTTGTTTGCAACTGGCTGAAAGTAGTCAAAAATAATTGTAAGGGTCATTTCACAAAAAGATTGAACATTAGTCATGTCAAAAACACCACTGCAAATATTACACAAAATGCGTTGTAACTCAAATGTTCACTTTTTGTGGAATGACACAAATGTATGGAAAGCATAGGGTATAACTGGCCAGATCTGCTCAAAATTTACTTTATGGCATGAAATTGCTCCATCATTTCTTCAAACTGAAGCAATCACAAATTTGGTCTTTTTAATCAGTCAATTTGATTATTTTTTAACTATTGATGAGAGCTGAAAAAGCGGCAACCCTCTTGTACTTTAGCCAGGATGAGTTTTCATTTTCATGTGTTGATTAATTAATAACTTTGTGGGTTTTAAAAATTTTTTGTTTTTTAATTAAAAGACTGTAATTGTTCCTACTGCTACATTAGCAATTTATTATGCTGCAGTCTTCCCAGACAATTAAAATACCATCCCTGTCAAACCCAAAAGGCTGTGTGGCAATTGCTGCATTATACACTTAGACTCCGTTCACATGAAAAATCTATTTTCTATTTGCGGTATCTTGTGATCACTCCGAGCGCAGCCGAGAATTAATTACAGCTTTGAAAGTAACTGGCTCACGCTGCCAGTAATTACGCCGCGGGGTATACAGGGCACAGACGGTGATCACAAGATACCGCAAATGGAAAATAGATTTTTAGAAAATAGACTTTTCATGTGAACCAAGCCTTATATTTATCACATTGACATTTGAATTACCTGCCTACTAGTAGTTGACGTCACTTAATGCTAATGTAATGTTCTGATAAGCAAAAATTAAAGACAAGAAAGAAAGTTTGCTAATTCTTTTAATGGTTTTAAATGATTATACATAACATATTAAAGAATCCTTGGATGCAAGAGACAATGTTGCCATTCAGTTTCAGCAGTCATGGGTTCTTTGAACCACAATATTGACACAACCAAGATGGTTTTTAGAAATTAGAAATTTAAATTCTAATAATTACATCATTTTTTAAAATTAAAGAAATAAAGGTAGAATAGGCATAAGTTTCTTATTCTTAAGAAACTGAATAATTTGCCCCTTGTTTGCAAAAATAACACAAAGATTGAACTAAGTATGAAGTTTTCTTTATATTTCAAACAAAACAAACATTAATAACAGAAAAATCTCACTTCAAAACAAATGCGTAGGTAAACTGTAAATGGATGAAATCAATTAACAAAATGATTCAATCAATTATATTTACAAAGCAACCATGATTTCATCTTTTTGAAAGTTAATACTCAGCATTCAATGATAGGCAATTTCAGAAGAAAGAACTATGTACACTGTGATCACCTTACTGTTACTGATACAGCTTTCAAACAACCATCAACATGTTTTAGGAGTAAATAACACACAAATATCAACAAAAAGACTTCTACTCTTAGGTGAATATAAATATTCAAGACCAATATTAATAATTTCAATATAAATTTGACTTCAATATATATGCAAAGTGTCCACCTCTTAAGTCTAAACAAGCTGAAAATTTCAAATTCTTTACTTTTTGAAAAGGGCATGGTGTAACCATGTCTGTCATTTTAAGCCAGACAAGATTTCCCAGTGCTTTCTGGTTTCAAATACTTGCTGAAAATTTCAATGTCCAGCATTATATGTTTGATTCCCATTTACATCATCAAGTTCATTCCATAAAGATGATGACTCATAGTTTGTCCAAAATGTAAAAAAAGCATGTCTGTAATGAAAAAATCCCCTCTCCAGAACCTGCCCACTTATTAGTTGAAATTGTCTACAAATGTCAACAGTACACAACTTTGAAATACACAGAGGAAGAAATAATAGATGATAACAACTCTAAATGCAATGTACAGTCTGGTATCCACACATCAGATTTAGGTATCCGTGGACACATCTAGAACCAAAATGTCCAAAACTAGTAAATTTCTGAGGTTTTCTAGTTATCCACACAAGTTAGATAATGTAATGCATCATCTAAAGCAGAATGTAGTCTTTTGCTCATTTTATAAGAGCCAAGAGATTCCCTTCACCATCTGATATCAGTTCTGCAGCACTTAAACAGACACCAACCAATGCTTATAAAAATTCTTAGACGATTTGAAAATATTAAGATATAAACTGTCTGTGGAATTATTAATTCAACAATCCAGACACCAATCAAGCATTGGATTTGGGATCAGAACTCTCATAGAACTCCGGATGAGATTCCTCATGCCTAGTACAGTGGACTTTTTGAGTGAAATCCTTGGGACAGTACCTGCACTTGTACGGCTTCTCTTTAGTATGGATCCTCATATGGCGTTCACGCTCAGACTTACACATAAATGGCTTCAGGCAGTGATCACATGGAAAGCTCCCCACACCAGTGTGGACGACTTCATGGCGAGTCAAGTGCTGCTTTTGTCGAAATGTCTTGTTGCAAAATTTGCATGAAAAAGGTTTAACATATTCTCTGGTGTGGGTTTCCTCGTGTTGCCTGCAATATGCCCTGCACCGAAATACTTTGTTACATACTTGGCAGCTGAACTGACTTTGCCTGTGGGTCTTCTGGTGCACATTGAGCAGCTTCTGGGATCGAAAATGCTTATTACATTTCCTGCAAGCAAAGGGCCGGCTACCTGTATGGATCTTTTCATGGTTGGCCACCTGCTTTTTATTTCTGAAGGTCTTGGCACAGACCTCGCAAGCGAAAGGTTTCTCTCCAGTATGGATCCTGGTGTGATCTTCCAGGATAGCCTCAGTTTCAAACACCTGCTTGCACTCTTTACACTCGGCACCTTTTATGGCAGCGTGCACATTCTGGTGTCTGGTCCATGCCGTTTTCTTTTTAAATACCCTAGGGCAGTGGCAGCACTTATACAATACCACTACATCCGTGCCATCCGCATTGCCCTGCGTTGGAGCGTCAGTGTACTTAAAATTTATCTTGACCACTTTCCTCCCAAAATTTTTCTCGTGGGTCTTCTTATGCTCCTCCAATTTATTTTTATCTTGGAAAGGTTTGTAACAGATAGGACACTTGTGGGCAGACTGGTTCTGGTGGGACTTGATGTGCTGGGAATAGGTCATCCTAAGACTGAACTCCTTGTTGCAGATGTCGCACTTGAAGGGAGTATGTATTGTGTGCATCTTTAGGTGTCTTTTATACTCGGATTGGCACGTAAATCGCTTGCGACATTTCTCACATTCAATAGGAGCCTTGCCTGTGTGAAGAAGCTCGTGGCGTTGAAGGTGGGCCTTCTGTCCAAAAGCCTTACCACAAAACTGGCACACATGAGACTTGGTAACTTCTTCATAATGAGTCCTTTGATGGTCTCTGCAATAGGACTTAGAACGAAAAGACTTTGTACAGTATTCACATTTGAAGGAAGGTTTTTCGCCAGTATGGACTTTAATATGCTTCGTCAACTGCTTCTTTAACATAAACTCTTTATCACAATGTTCACATTTAAAGGGACGTTCTCCTGTGTGGGTCTTTTCATGTAGTTCAAGCTGGTTCTTGTTTTTGAATCCTTTGTTGCACACCTGACAGACAAACTGTAAACCAGGTGAGACATCTACAGTCCCCAACTGAATTAAACTATCCACAGCTGGAAGAAGCTGGTCACACACTTGGGACAGGTATTCCCTTCCAACATTACCCAGGTGTGATGTCAAACTATTTTGTTCTGATCCTTGCCCCTCAGTTTGCATTAACAATGTATTGTGTATAATGACTTGGTCATTGGGCTGCATCAAAACTGGTTGGGTAGTCTGCACCAAGACTTGCTCTTGTGTCTGGACAGGAATTTGTTGGTTTGTCTGCATCATGGTGGGCTCGTTGGTGAGCACTACCACCTGCTCCTGATTCTGTACCGGGATTTGTTGGTGTGTTGACATCATGGTTGCTTCACCTGCCTGTGAGAACAGTTGCTCATTTGTCTGTACCAAGACTTGCTCATGAGTCTGTATTGGGATTTGCTGGTTTGTCTGCACCATGGTTGGCTCATTTGTCTGTACTACGACTCGTTCAGGAGTCGGTACCGAAATTTGCTGGTGTGTTTGCATCATGACTGGTTCATTTGCCTGTACCATGATTTGCTCATGACCCTGTACTGGGATTTGCTGGTTTGTCTGCATTATTGTTGGTTCAATTGGTTGTACCAAGACATGCTCACGTGTCTGTACTGGGAATTGGTGGTGTGTTTGCATCATGGTGGGTTCATTTCTCTGTACCACAACCGACTTGTTCATCTGTACTGCTATTTGCTTCCGTGTCTGCAGAGGCATTTGCTTGCTGTTTTGCACCTGAACTGTCTGGTTTGTCTGTATAGAATCTGGTTGATATGCCTGTGAAAGTACTTGCTTTTTTGCTTGCATCATACCTTGATGATTTGGTCGTTTCAAAACTGGCACGTTTGCTTGGACTGTGACTGGCTCAGTGGCCTGATTTGGAACCTGTTCTGGTGTTTGTACCACTATTTGTTCATCTTGTTGCTGGACAACTTGAGCACCTCTTTGTATAACTGCTTGCACCTTTTTCAGTGCCTCTGTGACATTGGGGACGGCGGTCTCCTGGCCAGACTGCTTGGCTGGGTATTTGAACACTATCTTAACCACTTTTTTAGGCTGTGCCTCCGTGTGAGTCCTCTCGTGAAGTGCGCAGTCTGTTGCCGTCAAGAATTTCTCTCTGCAAATCCGACAGTCTGAAAATCATAAGATGGAAGTAGTTTGTTTTGTGCTAGCTATTTGCAACAGGTTGTCAAAGCAGCTAGTCCAATGTGCTTCTTGCAATTTCCCCAGAATGAATACTTTAGATAAAGTTCTGAGCTGTCTCCATCACAGATGTAAATGTACCATCCCAGATTTGATTAAGTGTTTCGCAAAGTAGACATTGGATTAAAGCCCTGTATTAAATATGTTACAACATTTCAGTTTCCTCTGGAATGAATCGCACGAAAAGTGAAATACAAAATCCAATGCAAGGGGAAGACTGGAAATACATAGAAAGCAACCTGAAATGTGGAATTCTGCAAATATATATTTATCTTCTCTGTCCCTTTAGATTTCAGCATAGGTCAACATGCCTCATATACAAAAGGTGCCTTTCATTTGACTAACAACCCTCCATAAATACTGCATAAAAAAGCTCTTCTAAACTAACACAGCTAATATTTAGGAGAACCATCTTCATTTCCATGGTCATGTGTGTTCTACGTCATAATAGAAATACTTCTCTCAGGTCACAGAATACAATATTTAAACTATGTGCACAGGATATTCCAAAGTCAAATTTCATTCAAAACCAATGGTAATTTTTATCTGCCTTTCCTTTCCATTCTTTTTGTCTCATCTGTAAATTCAACTCACACCAGAGCAGAGCTAATTTAATCTTGTGTATAATTTTTTTTGGTGTAGTATGTAGAAGATGAAATGAGTGAATAAGAAGAGCTCTTTAATATGGTAAAAATGTGTTGTATGAATCTTTATCTTTTCCTTGCCACAATCACCTTAATAAGACAGTAACTTCAAACTCATACCAACTGTCTTCTCTATAGGTACAAACAGACCACAATTACTGTAAACTGAACCATGGCTTAGGGTATCTAAATACGAAACTGAAGGTAATCTTAAGAGAGAGAGACCCACCTGTTCCCTGTACTTTCTCCCCAGGCACCAGTGGGACTTCTTCTGTGGACTGGGCTGGGCGGCTCCCATCTCTGCTGATAACCTGAATAAAGAGTAAAAACATTATCATCTATTTCTTTTTTGAATGTGAATGGAACTTTGGGGAAAGTAGTCCTAGCATGGGACTCTTTAGGTGTGGTGGTGGTAAAAAAGAAGTTTTATGATTCGCTGGCATCATGTGACTAAAATATACCAATTTTTTTAATTTCTTGAAGTTTTCACTGTTTTTTTTTTAATTATTATTATTTTCTTTTTTTAGTATTCATAGCTAACATCATATACAACACAGGCTATAGACTTAACTTTCAAGAAATTGATGAAGAGGGGCATATTTTCAAATCTGCAAGGGCATTGTAGAAAAACAACAACTAAAGCTTTCAAATTATGAACGTAAGTGCAATGTCATACAGGAGAATTTATGTTCCAAATTTCAATTCAAACAGTGCCATAGATTTTGAAATAAAATGCTTAATATTTGGTGCCAACCGTAATGCTGATGCCTTTAAGATCTCAACGAAAATTGAAAGTGAAATGTGTTGTGAAATCATTTACTTGTATTTGGGAAGCTGCTGAGTAATTTCCCAATCAGAAAGCTTATGCTAATTTTAAGAAAGCAAGCATGAACATGGAGGAAGAATCAAAACTTAAAAAGTATATAAATAGACATAAGTAATTATGTATTCCTGACCTTGAATTGCCAGTGTGAACAAAGTGTTCTATAGGCCCACTGGCTGCATTGTTTTTTTATCATAAAAAATGCATGTAAATACTGCATACCATACTTTGCACTAAAAGGTTAATTTTACTTGACAACACTGGGTTTTTGCTGGGGGTGGGGGGGAGAGTGTAAAAAAAACATATTTCCACTTTTCATCAATTTCTTGAAAGTACAGATTTCTTGAAGGGAGACTTTAATGGCAAAAGACTCCGCAAGGAATAGAACTACAATAGTGTGAGAATAATCTGAAATAAAGCTTTTATGTTCTCTACTTATTCTGGGCTAAGAAAAAGAAAGTTTTACAAGTTATTTATAGACACAAACTAAATAATACTTCTTTTATTAAGACAAAACCTTAATTAAACTATTTGCCCACCCAAAACTCTTTTAGTTCAGCATACATTGAACTTTTCTACATATTAACAGCTGAAGAAATATGCTAAGGCACTTCTTTATTAGTACAAAAGAATATAAGATCTCTTTAAAAATTCTGAACAGAGAATGATCCAATTTGGAAAAAAATCTGCCCTTAACCCAAAGACCTTAGCCAAATTCATCAATAAGCTGTTTTTAAAACTTTCAAACGAGGGAAAGATGATGTTCTAAAGTATAACTTCAGAGTCCCACTGTGATATCTTCAACTTAAATATTTTCATTACCAATACAGCAATATTTCTTATATAATTCCTAAACATTTATCAGTAAGAGTCAGTATTCAAACAATTCAAAAGGACACTCACTGCAAACAGTGCCAATTTTGTTAGTATTGATGAAACATCTAAACATTTAACACAAGTGAATGTTAACTTAAAGAGAAGAAAAAATCTAAGTACTTTATGAGCTGATAAGAAGTTTTAAAGGTATGGTTGATATAAGGTCTATTTTGTATTGTGTGAATATCTTTTATTTGGGCACTATTACTCAACACACAGACATTATCAATAAACTATCAATGTCAAAAGGTAATTTCTAAAACAGCAAGAATAATGAACACCACACAAAATAAATAAAATCCCAAGGATCATACCATGAGCCCTTCATGTATAACTGGAAGTGTACCACTCTACAAAGGAAAGGGAATAAATGATCACAAAATAAACGGTGGTTTCCACTAATCTAATCCTAGCTTAATTTTCACTTCAGTCTTGGCTGTGATCTTTCACTCTACTGGCATGGGCGTGTCAATCGAATTAAAACAATACCAATATTTAAAATTGCTATAAAAAATGAAAGTAATGTCATCTAATTTATAAACACTCTATAGAACGAGTGACACTCAATAAAACGCGCATTACCTTCATTTCATGTGTCTGAACATTTTCGCTCGACGTGGACGAGGAAGAAGCGACAGATTTTGATGGACTTTCACCGGCACTTCTCAGCGACGCCGATTTTTCCGACATGGAAATAGACTCGCTACTTGCACCAGTCGATCGATTGTCCTTTGCATCAAGATTGTCTGGGCTTCCTCTCCTTTCCATTTTGCGTCCTAATAAAGTCTATTTAATCTATTTCCCGGGCCCTCCTTCAAAGAAAAAATGGCGTCAGTTCCATTTTCCAAGCTCTCCACGCAGAGCCTCGTTTTGAGAAATTAATTTTATTCCAAAAGCTGGTCTTCTAATCTCTAAATTCTAGTCTCTTCTTCAACAATTCACCTTAATCATGTACAATATGAAAAACGAGAGAATATGAGGACAGTAACAAATATTTTCTAAAAGTGAGGCTATAGATTGGAGATTACTTTTTACGCATTTACGATCTCCAAATCAAAAAGATTCATTATTATCCAATCACCGTACCCTAGGAAGACCTACAGAATATTTACTAGATGATATTTACTATATGGTTCGTGTTCATGAAATATTTTAACCGCGAAGAATGCCACTGACGATTTATAGTGATTTCTTCATTCATTTTCGCTCCCTGGAAGTATTTCTTTCAGCCAATCCGCCGTGAATACTTGGGGATACACAATTTTAAGCTAGGTTCTTTCAGATGGGTCTTAGCTTCTTGGCGACACAGTCGTTTATCAGGATTCAGGATTGATTGAAGAAATACTCAGGCTTAGGTTTAACCTGACAGAATGGCGGACTCTCAGACTTCGCTGGCAGCTTCACATAGCAATACCTCGTTTGTTGACGTGCTGAGCAATGAATTGCACACCAGTTTGGGTTGGTTTCTGTTGTCTATCCTGGCTTCCATATTTTGGTGCGTGTATATAGCTTACTATAACTCTAGGGTGATCGGACTCATTCTCACCGTCTTGATGAACAGAGTTGTGAAATTTGGGCATGTGCAATTAGGTAAGTATGTGCCAAAATTGACTTACTGAAGTTGCTTAAGTGATTCGTGCAATTCTAAAATTAATTTTTTCTAAAAAATTTGGCCCCCTATCCCCGCCCCCTCCGCATTCAGTGGCATACACTGCACAGTTGATTTACATTCATTGGGGGTTTAAGTCAAACTATAATTTCTGCCAGGAGATGCCCCCTATGGGTAAAAATTTGTTGTAGATACACAAAGGTTTCATGCACTAAAAGGTCTACTTTTTTCCAAATATAGAAGCCCCTTTTTGAAACTGCTGGCTACAGGCCTGAAATTGACATTTCAGTTTTTGATAGTTTTTGTTTAACTTTAAGACAGGTTTTCTGTTTGTCTATTTATATATTTATTAATCATTGTTTTTTATTCATATGTGTATTTTTTCTAAAAATTGAAAGAAAATGCCCTTTTATTTTTTCAGGATCTTTTTCCTTCTCAGTATTATCAGGAAAGATCATGTTCAGGGATGTTCATCTCATCACAGAGGATTTCTCCATCAGAATCACCGATGGCTGGGTCATCTTCAGATGGTGGAGACCCTATGTTTACAAGGAGCTAACTGAGGGTAAGGTCTGGATGTAGTCATGCCTGGTAAAATATTCAGTGAGAGGTAGAAAGTTGTGTTTGGTCTATCCAAGGAACTGGCAACAATTTTAGGAGCTACTGATGAAAATTAAAATCAGTCAGATTGAATCAACTTTGATGATCGGTAAATACTTAATATCTTGCTTGATTCTGGTCAAATTATAAAATGCCTTTTAAATCATCAATAAGAATCAAATTAGAATTAAAAGCAGTGAAAAAAATGTCATGCTATCAATAAAGATGCTTCACAGTGACAGTGTAAACTGCTTGTACCAGTGAACCAAGACTTTGTCTCTCAGTGAACTTTCTTCTTTTTTATTTTTTACTTCAGATTTCTCTCATTCTGACACCAGAGTCTCCATCTATTTGGATGACTTTGAGTTCCACATCTACAACAGGTCTCAGCATTATGCCAGGCTTGAGAAATTATTTGGCTTTGAGGAGCTGATGAATCCAAAAGGAAAACAAACAACAGAAGCTGAGAAAGATCTAGCTGAAAGGTAAGTTTTTTATCCCTTGAATTGGTTAACCATTAACTTGCCTGTACTATGCTGAAGTACATTAACTGATCAAGGGTTTAAGAATAATAGTATATCAGGTGAGATCAAGCATGGTTTAAATACTAGTATTTAAATTGGTCTGAATATCTTATCTATTTACCAGGTACTTAAATATATCTGATATATTTTATCTTGATATATTGTTAAGCTTTGCTTGACACATGTTGACATTGTTTTGTGAGGCAAAATGTTGACTGGTAAAAAAATCGTGTTTGATAAATTTCCAGAGCCCGTAGAGCTCAGAAGGAGGGTTTCCAGTGGAGAGATCTGATTCCGGTGATAAAGCTGGATATTAACACGGTAAAAAAATTATGCAACACAAACTTTAAAATAAATACTTATATTTGATTTATAAATAATACAGGATGAGCATGAAAAAAATATGAATTATGAGACATTATAATATTGGAGGTAAAACTACTTCAATATTAAGCTGTTGACTGAAGAAAAATTACTTCATTATTAGGATGAGCAAAAGTAGTAATGTCTGTAGTTGAAGAGTGTGTCTTTTTAAGTTCAATTCAGATTATATTAATTTTTCTCATTGTAACAGTACGTTTAACCCAATGATGTAAGCAACCAGTCTCACTTGTCATTTTCCAGGGTCGAGCAGTGTTTGGTAATCACTTGGTTCCCAGTAGTCTGAGTATTAACTTTGAGGATGCTCACATCGTGTACACCACCAAACCCTCGTCTACCCCCTTTGATAAGTTCATGCACATTGCTAAGTGTACCACAGAGAACTTGAGGGTGATGTTTGTACCCAGCCCTGGCTATGATGAACCCACGGATGAGTACGTGGAAAGTTTTCATAATCTGAGATATTATCATACTTTGTAGGATTGCCATAGGGACCATTCCCAGAGTCTATTGTACTAACTGTGGATCGATCTATCGCCGAGGGGATTCTCTTAAAATTGCAGTCAACTTAAGCAGCTTAGATATCTGTCATGCCTACTGAAGCTGCTAGGGGGTAATTAATTATCATTTAGCAGCTTCTGTAGGTATGCTAGACATCTAAGCCGCTTAAGCTGAAAGCAATTTAGCGAGGAACATCTTGGAGATGGATCAATCCTGTTAGATCCTGATAGCTTACTGGACTTGCAATGTTATCTCTATTTATCTCATGAGGACCAGAAGAAGTTTCACAATAATGTTAGCCCAATGAAACAAAGAGGTTGTTTGTGTATTGAAATGTGGCATATCTTAGGCTGCTCTCTATTTTGAATTTGAACTTGAAAATTGTTAAGATTGATAATAGATAAGAATTGTTTCCCCCCAGGCCTCCGCGATACATGGGTGAGGGATTTGTGGTCCTGCAGTCCAACGATGTAGACATTTACTATTATATGGATGCTCCAGGTAGGAGAGAGAAATAAAATTTAATATTTTGGTACTTTATTGCCACAGCCAAAGAAGTTATGATTTTGCTTTTTGTAGGTTTGTTAGTGAACAGCCAAAAGAATGGACAGATTTTGGTAGAATTTTAGGATAAGTCAAAAAATCAATTAGAGAAAGTATCAGTTTTATTTTTATTCGGCTGTTGATCATTATCTTATATTGCATCAAAATCCACAAAATAATCTATTTTGTTCATCTTTATGTTCTGTTTTTCTGTCTGTACATTTGACAGCTTCTCTGCCTGATTTCTATTCATACCAGGTGTTGTCCCATATGAACCTGAACAGTGTATCTTAGCAGATGGTGAAGTGATAGTGAGAGAAACTTTTCCATGTTGGGGGGTGGACATCAAATGTGGGAAGAGCACGGATGTGAAGTATGGAAAAACTACAAGTATTAGTTATGGACCTTGGGCTGATAAACAAAGGTGAGGATAATCTATTTGAGATGAAAGTCTTCTGGATTTAGCTGATAATCCAAATATATGGGCGTCTTAATTATGCTCTTCCCCCTCTCCCCTTGGACCCCCCCCCCCCCCCCACACACACACACTCACACAGAGCTGCACAACTTCAGAGTTTGAATTTAAAAAAAATTTAAAAATCCATTATTATCTTTGAGATAATGCTATGAAAAAATTTAAAAGGTTTAAAGATACGTTAGGTACTTTTATCTTGAATAGACCCTAGAAAATGTGTGTGTGTCTGCGTGTGTGCGTTTGTGCATATGTGTGCGTGTGCGTACATGTGGAGAAATCATAGCCACTAACACATGGCAGAGGAGCAGAATTCACCTCTACAAAATATTCCCCATTTCCAGAGAGTACCTGTGGAAGTTTTTCTACCCGCCAGACTATCAGGACTTAGTGGTGACACCTATGGCAAAGTCTGGCCAACTGAGACAGCACAAGTCCTTTGACGTGAAGCTGAACATCCTGGCAGATGCTACGCTGGATGTGCTCTTCACCAAGGCCAAGGTCATACCAAATGAATGATACAATGTTTCATTTTCTAGTTTTCTACACTACGCTACACTCTATTGAGATGATATCCATGTCAATTTTTCTTATATCTTTATCTTGACTTACAAAGTCACCCTCTTTACATGTAGGATATTTGATTGCAAAATACAGTAATTATGACACAAATGATATGCATAGAAGTAAAAGAAATATGTACGAAGTTTTCTTCTCATTGTTGGTTCTAGGAGACGCAGGCTATACATTTAGACGTTGGTCAGGGGTCGTATTTTGAGGCGACGTTTCCCTGGATTACTGAACCCACTGGGTTCACCACACGTGTAAATGGGCAGCTCTTACTTATGGATGCTACAACGAGTCTCAAGTTCCGGTCTTTTGCTGAATGTGAAACACTGGAGGTAATGAAAGATGCATCTTGAGCTTAGAATCATAGTTGCTGTTAAGATTTAATTTCTGTCAAGGAAGTTGAAAATGCAATGTAATGTATTCAGATTCCAGTAGTAACATGCCTATGCTCAATCAAGTACAATTATAAGGAATTACAAAAACTGTAAACATTGAATATAAGTAACTCTTTAATGTATTTAACATGCATGCATACAGTTAATAAGGTTAAGACATAAAATTCTCATTTTTCAATGATTGATTCAATTCAAAGCATGTCATGTTCTTTTTATTTCCAGTTTGATGTCCGTGCCAACTACCCTCTCCATTGGAATGACCCCCAGGACTGGTTTATAGAGCTGACAGCCTGCAAGGCTTCAGTCTTCCTCATCTTTGATATCAAACACTTCTTTGTTGGTATGTAGACTAATATTACAACCCATAGTATATAGAGCTGACAGCCTGCAAAGCTTCAGTCTTCCTCATCTTTGATATCAAACACTTCTTTGCTGGTATGTAGACTAATATTACAACCCATAGTTTATACATTGAATATGCTTCTGCACTTACATAGCATTTAATTTATCCATATTGTAATTATGTGGATGGTGAAGCAGATAACCTTGTATTTATGTAGATGTAAGAATAGTTCTGCCTAGAATTTGGTTTATATTTTTGTTTCCTGCTTGCTGTTTAGCTCTTTTTTTGCAATATAAATTCATTTACCCCTTCAACTTCTTTATTTGTGTGTCTCTTTGTTTTTAAGATATGTGAAAAATAATTCTACGAAATATTCAGTTTCATGTTGTATTAATCCATTTAAGGTTTCCTGTTGTCTCCTTAATTGTAGTATGTGAATGAGGGTTGTTAGATATTCCATTCAGACAATATGAATGTCAATTTTTCTTGGATCTATATCTTGACTGACAAAGTCACCATCTTTAAATCCAGGACATTTGAATACATGTTCTGGTCATCTTTCAGATATGTTCAATGACTGGGGTGATAAGAATGTGCCAGATATCTACAGATTTGTTCCCTATACCTACCACTTCAACCTGATCATCAAGGAGTTTGAGCTGCTCACTGTGGCCAATGAGTATAACTGGATTGATTGCTCCTCTGCACAGCAAGAGAATAGTACGTCAAACTAGATTTTAAAAACTTTAACAAAATATATTTGGATTCCTGTTTCATATTATTTATAAAATGTTTGTTTCCATGAATCTAAAAATGGAAACATGCCAGATTTAGTTAAAGTTTAAATGACATTATAGAAGTGAGACTAAAGTGAGTATTTTACCGCATATTTTCCAACTTAAAAAATCTCTGCACTTCTGAGTAGAATTTATTTTATTTTCTTCTAGGTCATATTGCATTCTGTGGGGAGAGTTTTGATCTGTCCTTCAAGCTTCCTTTCACTGACTACTTGCCAACCACTGTCCTGGTCGACCTCATGATTAGTGTGAGTATTATATAATAGTAATGGCCTTATCCTCAGTCCAAATATTCTGGGAAGGGGTAAAGTGTTGGCCCTTGTCTTTGTCAACATGCCCTTTGATTTACAAGCTATACCACACTGAGGGTAGTTGAAAGCTTGGAACGTTCTCATAATTTGGCAAAAATTTTAATTTACCAGTTTTTCTTAATGGTTTTTGATGAAGAAAGTTCAAAGGAAGGAAGTTGGAAATGAGCCAAGAATTTGACTCATGCTGATATTTATCATTAGAAATTTTATCATATATCCAGGGTGAAACCGTAGACGCCAGACTGTACGTTCCAGAGGCCAACACAAGCCGCCATGTTTTAATTGCGCTGTCAGAGAACATGAAGATCATGGACAGGAATGGGAACACGTTGGAGGGGGTCTTCAACAGCAGCAGAGATAAACAGTGGAGGAGAGTTACCAAGAAATGGTGATTTTCTCTAAAATAATTATATGATAATAACAATAATAACAAAAACAATAATAATAATGATAATAGATTTAAATATGTAAAATATACATAAGAAATTGATTTCCGTAATAACCTGTTAAAATAAACACATTTAAGATATAAATATTTTAAATAGCTAATAAAATAATATTAATTATTACTAGTCTTGAGTTCTGCAAAGCAACATTTAAAGACAACAGCATTTAGATTAGTCATTAAGACTATATGAGAATTTTAATAAAGAGCACTTTTTGAATTAAAACATTTTTTGTTTTCAGTGATGGTTGGATAGACTGTTGGACCACCAACATTGCTGCCATCAAGATAGGCTACACCTATCACCCTCAGCCAGCGCTCCGTAAAGAACACCTTGACGAGCAGCTAGCCACGCCCCAGATGGAAGAGAGGCTGCTTATCCCGCTGAAACCCATCGTACCAGAGACCACGGCACCCAAGGACTTTGACCCCACTTATATGGAGCCAGACTTGATCTCTGTGGAGTTAGAAGTTGGCCCCTCTGTGCTCTGTCTCTATGGATCCATACTGACTAATTTTCTACATGTTAAGGTATGAAAATATGTATAACTTGGGTCAGTTTGTGTAATATGTTGTGTAGTATTAATGCTTAGAAAAATGCATTATGTATTATGAATTTATTATATTAATTTCTGTTCAGTTTGTTATAAGTACCGTATAAGATGCAAATTCTAAATTTAATTAAAGAATTTGTGTAAACAATACAACTTAAAAGTCTTTATATTTAGTTTTAAAAGCTCTGTATATTTAGTTTAAAAAACAAAAAAAGGAATTTAATTTCTCTCATTTTCAGGAAAATTATTTTGGAGAAGACCAGAAATTCACAGACTTTGACGATGTTTTCTCTCCTCTCTCAACTCCCTTCTCTGATGATGAGTTTGTGGAGGAGGAGGTAGCAAAGCCGTTTGACCCACGATATTATCGACCGCTCTCAGTCACAGTGTCCTTGACCTTTCATGACATTCAGGGTCACGTGGTTAAGGTATAGCCTGGTTTTCATTATTATTATTGTTCTGTGTTTTTTGCTTTAGGATGTATATTTTATATGGATCAAATTATTTTTAAAACACTTTGCATAATATATCAACTAAGTATTATTGATTAAATTCAATATGAAGATTTGTGATATCAAAGAGTTTTCCTTAACTAAAGGCTTCAATAGCCTACCTGTTTTGTTTTTATAAAAGAAATAACACAAGTCTAACTTGTATAGAATTATATGCTCACATGCAAACACACACTCACATATGCACTAAGACATGCAAGCATGTGAACACTAAGACTTGATATAACAAAAATTATGAATTTTCAAACTTTCATCTTCTAAAATTAAACTTTTTCCAGAATTGTAACCCAGATGATCCTCCATGTCCGACTGCTTTCTGTGAGAGGCTGGCCTTTGAGATGGACAAGTCGTACCAGGAGACCAAGCTACAGCTTCTCCTGTCCCCTGTGGTGCTCATTGCCAAAGATAATGTCACTGTGAGTGGATCAGTTCATAATAGGTTTAGGGTAGTCTTTGGGAATTTATCTGGTTATTTCATTGTTATATTTATTCTCTCCAGACTCCACGTTTCAGGTATTTTATATTGAACTTGATTTAAGAGAGAACTCTTGGGAATAGCTGGTTTAAGATTATAAGAGGTAAAAGATGTCCAATATGTTGTCACTGTGAATGTATCTTTCTCAAGTATACTATTACTCCAGAGATCCAGTGAGGATTCCCACCTTCAGAACGGTCAGGTAGCTCTGTCAGGACTGCAGATGCGAGGCCACGCCATGTTTTCACACGAGGGACTTCCCCTGGATGCGGAGACCCTGGAGTACGCCTGGTTAATAGAGGTGACAGTAGGAGATATCACTGGAAAACTTACTGTGCCTCAGGTTAGTTACTTTAAGTAAAGGCTTTTAACCACTACAAAATTCACTGATTTCAGTGGAAAGTCTTTATAAACATTCCATTGCTTTGATATCTATACTGGGATTATAAAAACCATTTCACAAGTAAGATAAATCTACATACATTTAACGGCATGTTACATGTGTGAATATCATGTTCCAGGTCCATCAGCTGATAGAGTTTATCCAGACAGGGATATTCCTGATTGAGGACTCAGAAAATGGTCTCCAGCATCCAGTGCCATACAAACTGTGCCAGCACTTCAAGCCACAGCCAGACTGTGAGATGAGCACTAAGTACCCCTTCCCCTGTCCTACCACAGAGGAAATCAAGTACAGAATGACCCGACTGTCTGTGGATTCTATAGATTTATACATTGTTGAGAGTAGCACTGCGCTCAACCTTCAGGTAGGGTGTCACATCCAGCACATTTGGAATTGTCTCACCTAACACACTGTCTCATCTATCACACTTAATGTCATCCGACTCAGTGAACTGAATTGATGGACACACAATATGTATACTATAGAGTATTTTTGTTTTTCCCATTTTGAAATTTTGCGCTGACCAATACTCCAGTTTTATTACAAAGTGCACTCCATACCGTTTCTGTTAACAGAACTGATATTGTTGATGAATTATAATAGCATAAAAATAATAAATGAATTTGTAATTTTTGACAGTATTATTGGATAGTATTATATGCAACTAACAAGAGAATTTCTACACCCATGTAGTCCATTTAACTTTAAAAATGTCACACTCTCAATGATAAAACTTTCCAGATCTTCCCAATACGACTGGCAACATGTAACCTCCACGGCAGTGACAACAAGGCAGGAGTGACTGGAGTCATACAACATGTGCTACTTAGACAATACATAGAGTCTACACTGGACCACCAGCATAAAACACACCCTGACAAACACAGTGAGGAGACTGTACCAATGTGGCTGGAAGCTGGTGGCGTTTCCCTCGGCCCTGTGAATGTTGATGCCGCCATTGCTATTCCCAGCATGCAACACCATAAAATTCAAGACGCGTTTTTGAAGCTCCATGATAAAAAGACGCGAAGGCTGTGGTTTATGTGGCCTCCTGATCTCCATGTGATGAACCCTGATGCCATTGGCAGGTGTGGATGTGTGGGAGGCTGCAAGTTCTTTGGACATAACAAAGGTAAAGACGATGAGTTGGTGGCAGATTATCAGATAGCCAGTTCACATTGTTAGTTCGGCGTGATCCATACTTTATTTTCATGGAGAATATTTTTTAGAAATTCTGAAAACATTCATCAAGTTAAGACTGCATTGGTTTTACATCTGGAGAGAATGTGTTTGTTTTTACTAATAGTAAAACAGTAACTTTTGCTTAACTGGGCTCTTTGCTACACAAACATCCAGTTCTTTTTAGATTGGCCATTTAAAAAGTATTATTTATACAAACCATGTTGGGCAACTTGACATCAGACACAGTCTGTAAACGTAACCTGTTCTTTCATTTTCCAGGTGGGATGACATTTTTCCATCTTCACACCAAAGGCAAGAGAAATGCCATTTATGAGGTCACGCCTGATGGCCTTGACCCTGGGTTCGGACAAAGCCTTCTACAACGAGGTCAACTCGTCTTTGAAATAGAGAGCAGCAGCCTCCCTTCAACATCTTCTCCTGACAAGCCACATACTTTTATGTTCACTCGTGGCTACTTCAGTCACGCTAGTCCAACTAGTCCCATGACTACTACCACCATGCTGGAGTCTATAAACACCAAGGAGAGTGATGTACATTTTGGTGGCAGCGGTGGGACAGGTACTGCCGGGAGGGGGAGGGTCCCCCAAAGTGCCTCGGAAGTCGTCCTCATGAACCATGGGTGTTACGAGGCTGATGGAGAGGACAACTTTGAGAACAAGGAGATTCTTTCATATCTGGGTTCAGGGACAGAAGGAGAGGCTTTGTCTGTCACGCAGTTTGAAGCTACCGGGAAAGGAAAAGACACGGTCTCTACTATATCTCTAGCTGGCTCCCTACAGCCTGATACATTATCACTGAGAGATAGGACTTCTCTGCTCTCTGGGACAAGTATGGTAGACCCCAGATTGACATCCTGGTCAAATCTTAAGGGTGCAGAGGGGAAGGACACACCTTCAGTGGTCTCCCTGGCTGGCTCCATTGATAGTCAGTCTATTACAGGGACAGGTGAAGTCAAAGCCCCAGATACTCTAAGTAACCTGGAGGATATAAAGGAAGTGAAGGATACTGACAGCCTCTCAGATCTAGTACCTGAGGATCCTATGCCAGATGCCTATGACACAGATCGCTGGGCCAGTACACAGTCTGATACAGCAAGTCTGTCAGAGGCAGCCAAGACCCCACCCACAGCGAAGAGAGTGGAGCCAGGGATAAGACACTGGAGACAGACCTCTGAGGGAAGTCAGCGTACCCTGTCCAGTGGGAGTCCCATCAGTGATGCATCCTCCCCCAGCAGACAGAGACAGCGGTTGTCTCCCAGGGGCAGCCCTGTTGTACTCCACCCAGGAATCCAACGTCGTAAATCATCAGAGAAACATCCTCATCTCATGTCGACCGGCTCTGTGAATAGTGAGAGTTATTATTCAGCCGATGAGGAAATGAGTGGCTCTGCTGATGATGATGACGATGAGGATGACAATGCTGCAAAGGTTGACTCTAAAGAGAAAGGTCAAAGGTCGGAGGTCAAGAGGAAAGAAGATCATCGAATTAACACTCCTGGGTCGACATCTTCTAGTGATAGAACCATCATAGGGACTGTGAAAAATAAGAAGGCAAGCTGGAGGAGAAGGCCCCTGGGTTCATCCAGTTCAAACTCCAGCTCGTCCTCTTCTTTTATCTCTGCAGCCTCATCAGCGGAGGAGGGGACTGAGATCCAGGAGGAGGATTTGGACTGGGTGGATCTCCATGGTCAGATGGACCAGGCCATTACCAGCTCCCCCCTCCTCATGTCCTGCTACTCCAGTCACCTGACCCAGTGGAAGTGTTCTAATTGGTCAGCTCCTCCGCCCTTACCACACCTGCTACCACGCCCTCTGTTCAACATCCCCAGGGGTAATCACACCTACCCCCCTGACCCTGGGGATCACCTTGCTGGTTCCCCCTGGATACCCCACTTCTCCCCCTGCCACCAGGGGTTCAGCCCCAGACTAATGATTTCTAAGAAAGAACCAGTGATGAATTTGACCACCAACAGTGAAAGTTCAGAAGACGAGGAAGAGGAGGAGACAGCGGATGACAAAGGTGAGAATTATTTTTTAACCTCTACCAAAGCAGTTATGTTTGTGCATTTGTAGGTTTTTAACAGCATAACTCAAAAATTATGGAAGATTTTGACAAAATTTTAAGGATAGGTCAGAAATGTGCTGATTTAGATCTTGAACACACAGTAAATTCTCCAGGTGAAGAGACGGCCTTGACCTTGGAGGACCAGACTTCCAAGACAACCGCAGTGATCAAACTCCAGGGCTCTGTGGATCTTCTGGTGACACCTCTGCTGCTAGAGGCAACACAAAGGTGACATAAACCTCCATCTAGACTAGTATCTCAAAATATACAAAATGGATTTGGATAGATATTTTTCAGAACTTAGCATGAATTAGATTTTCAGTGATCCATTACAAGATAATAAATAATAATGAGAATTATATATATGAAAATTATATAAGAATCTAATAATGACACAAATCCACAAGAAGTATGGATAATAAAGATCATATTTAATTTATTTCCTCAGATATGTGGAAGCCATAACACCAACCCTAGCTCTTCTTCATCCGTCAGCCATCTTAGACAGGCTTCATGTAGAGAGTTCTGATGAAGTGAAGGCACAAAATAAGTTGAAGAAGCTGAAGTCTGAGCACGAGTCCCCAGTAAAACCCAAGGAGGAGGTGGAAGAGCGCGAAGATGTCACGGAGGAAGTGACGTCATCTAAGGTGCAGGTGCTCATGTCACTGGCCAGGGTAAGTGCCAGGGAATAGTGTCCAGGTTTTCTTGGACTTTTTCATTTTGGAGAACAGTTTGGTTGCATTTTCCCATGCAAAAAGTTGGTGCTGACTAAATATTGTAGATAATTGATATAATTTGATGTGACTTGATGACAGGAAAGGGAGGGCGGGAGTAGATGTAAAGGAATATTTTTACCAAAAACGTCTTAGTGCTGAAGGTTGCAATTCTTTATGATAATCAACATTACATTTACATTTAGCTCAAAGTATTGATCATTATTAAGTATCAGGTACACTAATCTATTTATTTTTTTCCGTGACATAAATTAGATCATTTATTTTTAACATTATCATTTGTAAGTATAAGTTTGTACCACTACATGTCTGTATAAAATGCTCAGTGAGATATAATTCTTACCTTTCAGATCAACATCAGCATATTACAAGTGTCACTGGTGGAGGAGTACATCCATTTCTCAGCCTTGGACAACTTCAGAGAGATCACGTGTGTGTCCCTGCTAGCCGTGTGTCTGGACAACATATCTGCCACCCTCACTGCCAGCAACCAGTCCAAGAAGATCACCAAGTCTATCCACCTGCCCCCCAGGAGAGAGATGAGTGTTCACAGGACTGGGAGTGGAGATATTTTACCCTTCGCTAAACCTGTCCAAGCAGCAGTGAGACGGCTCACTCTCTCGTCACGAGCTTCGAAGATAAAACGCCAGTATTCCAACCTGTCCGCGACGCTTGAAGTGACCAATGAGAGAACGGAGGTCAACCAGGATGAGTTGGCGGGAATTGTGAATTTGGGGAAAATTCATTGTCAGTTGAGAAGATTGGTAAGAAATACCAAACCTCCTAAAGATGTTCGTCTCAGTGCGATACCAGAGCACCGCTCCAAAGTTCTGTTCACCTTCCAGAAGGATCTTTTTGTGCCGGAGGACAGTATAAGTGACACCCACTCTCAGAGCAGCCGCTCCAGGCGGGAGTCTCTCACCTCCAACAAGAGAAGCAGCACCATCGACGATAACACCTTTGGTTTTATTATGGTGGAGTTTGGTTTGGATAATATCTGTTTGAAGGCTTTAAAGAGGAAGGGTTTCAAGGAAGATATCCCAGAGCCCACCTCCAAATGGGATGCCAATAAGCCAGACACCCTGAGGGCACCCCCCTCCTCGCCAGACCCCCTGGGGGAGCAGGCAACCTTTACCCTCGTACAGGAAGACACCCAGAGCGTAAAAAGTGCGGGCTCCAAATCAAAGCTCAGCAGCAAGGCCAGCGAGGGCAGCGATGCAGACTCTTTTCATTCTGTCATATACCATGGCTCTGATAGTGAGGCCTCAGAGAACGTTTCCCCTCCCCCACCTGGCAGGAACTCCCCCTCAGACTCTGACACAGGCTCGGCAGTGTTGCAGTTTAACTTGGTGTGGTTCAGTTTTGCTGCTCCGCCACCCATGCCAAACAAAGGAAAGATAGAGTTTACCAGGTGAGCTTAGGTGGTTTAGAAATAGAAAGTTGGTGGTTTAGAAATAGAAAGTATTACACAGTTGTATTTGTTTTTGTTATTTTTTCTATTTAAATAATTTTTCCTTTATTTATTTTTTCATTTTGTATGTGTGGAAGAAAATATGGAGATGAAGATGCAGGAGCATGTGAATTGTATCTGTTGGTGTATTCCAACATTTCATGTTCTATAATCTCTCTTTCTATTTGATGTTAGTGACAAATTTTGCACAGTTGGCTCCAGATGTTTGATATATAATAATAATATCTTATTATGAGCATTTGTTTGTTTCCAGATTGGACTGGAACTTTCTCAGCACAGCCACTCCTGCCATCAATGCCTGGCTGAGTCCCAGCGACCATCTGATCGTAGCGGTGACAGAGCTTGTCCGCGAGATGAGGAGGAGGACACACTCCGTGATGGCGTGTCTCATGACAGAGGCGCTAGAGGTCCAGGGGATACATCTACCTGCTAAGGTGAGATACTGCTGTTGTTTTTTTTTTCTAATTTTTAAAAGTTGAAATATTTTAATTAGTGGCAGAGGTTGAAGGGTACAAGTCATACATTTGCCTGCCTCTGTTTTTTTTCTCCAATGTTTGAAACTTCAGAATTTGAAATTGGTATACTGTGTAAAGATGATTAATTTGTGACTGATGATTTTCAGAAAGTTTAAGAATTTAGAAACTTGAGTTGTTTTGCAGAGAAAAAAATGTTATGTAAATTTGGTACCTGATGTTAATGATGATGTAATGTAACATTTCAGAGTAAATACAAGAAGATCACCAGCTTCTCCAGAGCTGTCCAGGAGGACCCTTCCTGCCAGCTGCTCACCGTCCTCAGAAAGTACATCAAGAAGGTCGGAGCCCGGTCCATAGAAGACGCAGTTAACACTGATCTGACCCCTCAACCCGTCACCATACAGAAGGGGATCCTTGCTCTGACCAGACAGTGGAAACTTATTCTCTACATGCCTGTGGAGGAACACCTTAAAAACAAGCCGCGCCCCATCCCCTTCTCTTACCCTGTCCCCAAGGAGGAAAGCATGGATAATTTGAACATGTACGAGAAGGGGCAGGAGGCTTCGCAAGATAACCTGGATTTTGACATTACAGATGAGAAGGCATCTCTCCTTCCACAGGGTGGAACATCTCCTAAGGACATGGGTTCCCTGACCAGCTTGATCAAGCCGTGCTCAGGGAAGGCAAGCAAGGGGAGCTTTGAGAATGTATTTGTGGATGCTCAGAGTGAGTTTTCGGGGAAAGTGAAGTCAAAAGATGGCGCCACTGGCAACAGGTTGGAAATGTCTCCCATTGGAAAAAAGAACAGCGGACACAAGAGCGGTGGTGTGGATGCAGGGGAGGGTGTGAAGGAGTTCAAACATGAGGATTCCCCCAGCAGACTGCCGTACAATAGTGGAGGTAGTAGTAAGATTCAAGAGAATCTCTCCCAGCAGCCTCAGCAGCATCATTACGTACCATTGCAACACCAGTTTCTGCGCAATGAAAGTGCAATAAGCATGGCGTCCAGCTTAGGTAGCCTGGACCTTGATAAACAAAGTCGACATCGCTGGTCTCAACCACCACAACCTCCGCAAGAAAAGAGCGGTGAGAACGAAGATCTGTATCGCTGGATGGCCAGGCACCAGCAGTTTAACAAGAAGTCGCTGGGGTTCAGCCATGAGCCCTTGGAAACCATGGTCAGCCAGATCAGTGTGGACGCCCAGAGTCAGGACACTAGTATTCAGGGCTACAACCCAGGGGTCCTGCCTGGCACACAGCTGGCCGACGCCCAGGCCCTGTTTAAGCCCCTGCTGGAGAGCATGTGGCTGCAGTCCGAGGGGGTGAAGTCCTCGGCAGTTATGAAGCAGTTTGGTGGAAATATTAACCTGCAGGTCCATCTCCCGCAGTTCAGGATCAATATTGTGGCCTCAGATGATGTACAAGGACAAAGGTCAAAGGGTAAAGGTCATGGGAAGAGTAAGAGACACACCCACCTGCTTGACTCCATACGCGACATCCCAGTGTTCCTCTGTGATAATTTCTCTGTTGGACTGAACATCAAAGAAGTGGTTGACTTTGAAAAAGAGGAGGAGGAGGAAGAGAAAAGGCCAAAGACGATAAGATTTGCTATTGATGCTCTGGAGGCTAAGCCTACCACCACCCAGTTCACCTTCAGTATTAACACAGACAGTGTAAAGCAGCATGTGGATATGGCAGTAGTCAGGCTGGTACATCAGGTGGTCACTGTGATGGAAAATTTCAACGTCACACGGACAGAGCTCAAAAAGAACCGCCCCGAGGCGTACAGAACCCACAGGAAGCAGGACTCTAAGGGGTCATCCTCGGGAACAGACACTCAGAGTTTAGGGTTTGACCCCCAGGAACCAGGGGCATGGAGTCCCAGTCCAAACGCTGATGCTGCAAAGCATGCAGAAAGGACCTTTGCCCTTAAAAAGGAAAGAGAAGCACCTGGACCCGACCCTAATAAAGGTTTGGCTCCCAGCCCCATACTGAAGAGGACGTCCATGCCTGGCAGGATGGGGATAAGAAAAATGAGACTTGAAATACCAAAGAGATTAGAACTGGACTTGTCTCCTATTGGGTCTCCTATAAGGGAACACAGTGGAGGAATTGCAGAAACAACCTCACCAACTGAGGTGGAAAGAACCATTGTAGATCACATTACGGAAAATACGCCCAAATGTTGGCGAACTCTGTACCACCTCCTAGATTTATACTCCCGTATGCCAGAGATGAAGACAGTGGGTAAGGCGCCCAGCATCTCCCAGCTGTCCACCATTGCTGAGGAAACTGAGGCAGATCTTACCACACCCTCCAAACCTGTAGATGGCACCAGTGAAGAGGATGCCAAGACAGGAGCAACTGGTGAGCCTGGTGATGATGTAGGGGGAGATGTTGATATTGAGAGTGGATTGGTTGGTGAAGAGAGAGGTCGTGATCATCACATGCCTCACCACGTACCCTTAGCCCCAGCAACTACGCCCAACTTCATGCGTCTGCCATCAACTGGAACATTTACTACCAGTAAGTTTTTGTTATCAGTTGTCAGATTTACATGAGTATATTTATTGACATAAAGGGAATTACTACCTCTTAGAAGAAAAATAATGCATTCAGTGTATAGAAATTGATAGAAAAGTTTGTTATCATCTCATTTATGAAATGTTAAGACATGTATTCACCAGTTTTATGTTTCACATTGTTGGTATATTGATGGGAGAGTACAGCCAGTTCCAGCAAAATTTGATAAAAATGTATTAACTTTATTGCCTTCAACACCTATATTTAATGTTTGTATTTTTATCTATTTTTATGTACTTTTATTAACCAGTTATTTTTCCCTGTAGGTATATTGATAGGAGAGACAGTTCCCATAGTGTTGTTTGGTACAGCTAAGATTCATCAGATCCATATCCAGGCTACACTCAGTGGCTTAGAACTGGAGGCCATTGTCAGAGACGCCCACGCTAGTGTGGCTCACAAGGAGAAGGTCAAAGGTCAGGCTTGATTTTGGGCTAGTCCAGTATTTATATTTGACTGAATTAATTGTTATCTTTGATAGTGGAGTAGTGAAACATTGATGGTTGCAAGTATTGAAAAGTATTTTATTTACCTATTTATTTAGTTAGTCAGTTACAAAGGAAGTATGTGAGTTTATTTTTTGCACCTACCATGTCACTAATGGTAATGTTGATATTGAATCCTATACAAATATTAAGATTAGACACCTTTTTTTGTACAGACATAGTGCTTTGTTCTCTAACTGTTGTCTTTTCGTTCTGTAACCTAGGGATTTTCAAGAAGAAGACAGTGGAGACGTCCTCCACTCTCCACATGGGGCATGCTCTGGTCACACTGTTTGAGGGCATGCAGGCAGAAAAACAGTAAGAGATCCTCCAGATGATTTACAAGTTGTTTTTTTTTACATTTTATTACTAATTAATATCACACAAGAGCTTTTCCCAAAGAATTGCAGAATTAAAAGTTTTTTAGTTCAATTTTGATGGTTCTTGAGATTTGTCAAGAACAATGATAGATGTTCAGAGAATTTTAACATAGCCTCATGTATGCAATATTCAACTGTCTTTTACATATTTATATATCACATGGACATATTTGATAGTAACTTAGGAATATTCAGTGCAGATTTTCCTCAGTGAATTGTGATAATTTTGAACATCCTCCTTTGCAGGACTGTTGTCACTGTGAATATAACCAAGTCAGAAGGCCTGTACAGCACTGTGACCAAAAGAACCAGAACCAGGAACTCTGGTCTCCTGACCATTGGTCAGACCAAGGTGGACATCCCACAGCACCCAGTGGCATTGCACGGTGTGGTCACCAGGAGTTCTAAGAGGTTGTCCACTACACTTCAGGAGTTTATACGACCACCCTCTGCTGTCAGGTAAGATATTAGAATATTTGTATGTCCACTACACTGCAGTTTATACAACTACCTGACTTCATGTTGTGACCAGTTTCAGCATGTCTGTAACTTCATTCATTTAGCCAACTATATAAAGTAGACCAAACCGGTTCAGGAATTGTCATCATTGTTTATTTAACTCATTGAGTCTCATATTGAAAAATTTCAGGTCCTCAGAGAACATAGGTAACACCACCCCTCAGCAACCCCACCAGGCCCCTGAGGTATCTGAGCCACCCCCCAGCAGAGCCCCAACAGAGCAGAAACCCAAACTGTTAGTGATGCACTTCACGGCCACACTGGAGGGGTTCGCAGTGGAGGCCTCACTGCTGCCCTCTCTCAGGGCACAGTACAAGGTGAGGGATTTTGTTTCAAGTTTCACGATATCTGTCCAAATTTGCCAGAAGTTAATTTTAAATGTATTATAAGAATAACCCTTGCAATTTGTAAAGCTTTTTTGTTTTCATGTTCAAAGTTGAGAGATTCAGAGTTATGAGTTCCCCCACATATTTTTGGTCTTTAAAAAAAATTGTTTTATTTTTTCAAAAATCATCATATTGGTCATGTAATTTTAAAGAAATATTACACTTTTCTATTCTATTCATTTCAGATTGGTAAAGTAACGAGTGCTGGAGTGACGGGAAGGAAGGCCAAGTTCTACATTGACTGGCCTCAGCATACACTCAGCTTTGACTCCAAGGTGAAGGTCATTAGAGTAACATGAAGATAAAGATACAGAAGTCTTCAAAGTCTGAGGCATCTGCTAATTTTTTTCCAACTTTATTTCTTACCTGAATTTGAAAGTAGTAATAATATTTGGTTACTTGCACTCAGTTCAGGCCAGGCTCCCCTAGTAATGCCCCCTAGCAAGTGGAAACATACAGGGGCTGCCTGTTATCAATACGTAAAGGATTTCTTCTTCTTCTTCTTGGTTGTGTGCCACAAGGCAGGTTTAGCATCTCTCACACCATCCATCAGGATCTTTTAATTTAATTTCTTCTTACAGGTGAAGGAAATCCCAGTGAATACATGCATCCCAACCTCCGCCACCATTGACCTTCCCCCTATCTACCTCTTAGTGGACTACAGGCCTAGTAAGGGGGGTCTGCAGACATCAGGGCTCACAGAGGGGCTGATAGTGAGAGAGGGCGACTATTTCCATGCTGTGGCTGAGATGGGACGGTTTGAGCACAGTCTGACCACTGACTTGTTGAACCACTTGGTGTTTGCTCAGAAGGTTTTTATGAAGGTAGGACACTGATTTTTTTTTTCTAATTCTGTTTAGCTAGTCTTATGATTTGTGAATAGTGAAGTAAGATGTTACAGAAAATTTACAGAAAGTGTGATGTGAAAATTTAGTGAAAAATTTTGAAAAATAAAGCTTTTTCAATTTCTTAAATTTTTTCTTGAAGGCAGACGTCATTGTGTTGTTGTATTTTCAGGAGATCAATGAAGTCCTGCAGAAGGTGTCTGGAGGAGACGAGATCGTTCCTATTCAGATATGGGATGAGCAGGGCCAGAGAGTGGATAGTGGGATATCCAAACCTGTCCTCTACTCTGTCATCTTCAAACTACAGGTGAGAAACAGGGCCATGTGTTACCGTTTCCTTCATTTAGAAACTGTCTCTTTTATGTGTGAAAAAATTTCAAAGCTGCAGGAATTTGTATAATATATTCAAGATCAATGAAATATATGAAAGTGGAGTTTATAAACAATGTTGATAATTATTTTTTGTTGTTAAGTAATCTGTTTTTAGGATGTATTTTTACTAATTTTACTGTCATTGATCTTGAATGCACATTTTTAACCAATATGTTGTCAGGGTATTGAGATAGTTGCCACCACCCCCACTGCCAGTGCCGTCCGTCTGGTCACTGAGGAGATTGAGCTGGAATTGTCCAACAGGATTCAAAATCAAGCCTCTCACGAAGGTAAAGTTATAATAAAAAGAAGAAAAAAGGAAGAAAATTGTTCAAACTAATGTGTTTATTGTTGGCATTTATGCTTGCTTTGAGTTTGTAAAGAGAATCTGGTGTGAAATAGAGATACATTATTGATGAAATTGAGGTGATGTTTTCTAATTATGATGGCTGCAGCATCACACATTTTGAGTAATGTGATAATGTATGCATTTTTTGTGCATAAGAATGAAGTACATTTCAAAGTACATATTGATGTAAAAAAGGACAATCACTCTGTCATATTCCATAATTATTTGGTTGTACAATGGTTGCCTCTGAAAACAAGAGTCCGGACTTGCTGTAACTAGCTAATACAAATATGTTATATATGAGTTGCTTACCATAATTTTTGATACATCACTGCTGTCACCTTAAGTAAATATAAAATCCTGTGGTACATGACACCTGTGCAATCTACGTAACACCTGTGCACTCTACATAACACTTGTTGCCTCCTGTATAAGCTGTTGTTCGTTGTCTATTTCAGTGAGCCAGAGTTTGAAATTATTTGTCAGAGCTCAACTTGATGTCAACCTGGAACTGGGACAGCTGTTAAAGGTAAGGGTCATGGAGTGGCCCCAAATCCTGTTCCATTTGACAGAAAAATGAAATCGTACACAAAAAAAAAATGAAGTAAAACACTTTAAGATTCTTTTTGAAACTTTTGCCAATTGAATCTTGGTATGGTAACATTTTAATTGAAAAACTGACGGTAGACTTTTCATGAAATGGGGGTCTGCCAAACTGTTGGTTTTCTCTTTTCTATTCACAATTTTCTGTTCATTTTTGATCTTTCTTTATTGACCCTGTTTGAACCAGGTTTTCACTTGCTAATGTTTCCATTTTATTTAAAAATTACAGAAGTAGATGTTAAAAAGAGTAAAGCATGTAGATTGATTGTTGCTATTTGTGAATGATTTTCTTTTTTGTCAGCAATGTGAAATTGTGTCACAACATCAGATCTATGCCCAATCTACATTATAATGTATAATGATGTATAATGGATGTTTTTTTATTTCACAGAATCATGTGTATGTAGAAGTGCACCCAGAGTTTCAAGCCATGTCATTCTTTAGAACCAGGATTGGGCTCAGAAATGCCTTGCAGGTAAAATAGAGATTGTGAAACCAATAAAACCAGGATTGGGCTCAGAAATGTTTTTCAGATAATTAAAAGTAGAGATTTTTTTTTTTTTTGGTTAGACGTTTTTCATTCATCAAAAGATTTGATTTTCTATATAACTGAGCTCAAATAAAGTAGGTAACATCATAGGGCATTGATGATCATAAGTTCCATTTCCTTTAGGATGAAATTCTCCCTGACGGCTCAAAAGACCAGGAGGCTCTCCTCATCTCCCTGACACGACCGGTGATTTATGTTCAACCCAGTGCTTTTGACAAGGCCGTCCTCGTGTGGCTGAACTATAAGAATGCCTATGAGTATTGGCATGAACAGAGAATGGCTCTTAATAAAGAGGTAATGTTATAGACCTAGTCTGTCTGAACTATAAGAATGCCTATGAGTATTGGCATAAACAGAGAATGGCTCTCAATAAAGAGGTAATATTGTAGAACTAGTTTGGCTGAACTATATTAATGCATTGCAGGAAAACTGTAGATGTTGCAACTTTGTAAAATACTTATTATTATTATTATTATTATTATTATTATTATTATTATTATTATTATTATTATTATTATTATTCCAGGTCCTGACAGCCACCCAGCAGGTATTTGACCGTCTTCACATGCCCAGTATTAGCAGCACCAGCAGCCCTGCCCTGGGGACACTGTTCTTACAACTGACAGTGGACTCCTTGGGGATATGTCTACCAATAGAGTCACAGCTACCTGTAAGTTACAGAATAGAAATAGTTGATGGTCATTTTACATGCCAAATGGTTATCTCTTAGTTTTCAAATATTCATTTATTATTTTTTAATTTGCTTATTTATTGTTATATTTGCTCTTTTGATAGAAGTAGTTGCTTGCTTTTTATGATATCTGCATATCCCTTACCTTGTTGACATGTTTCATTTTCTTTTACATGGTATTTTATATTAATAAATGAAAAATAAATATATGTTTCGTATAATGTACATGTTCTGTATTTCAGGGCATGACCCCCAGCAGTAAACTATTAGACAGTGAGCGTGCAGGCGCAGCGCTGGTTCTCACTCTAGAGAGTACGCAGATCTCCGCATGTTCCTGTGGCTCTCTGGTCAGCAAGGGCAAGTTCACAGGTGAGAAGATATAAGTTAACTTTTATCTGGATTTATCTTTGTAATTGCCTGATGGGACATACAGTGTTAAGATTTATTGTTGAGGAAAAACCAAAAAGTTTCAATGAGAAATATCTTGAAAATTATGTCATTAGAACTTGAGTATGGTTTTCTTTTGTCAGCTATTTGAAGGAAACCAGTTGCAAACTATAAATTTTTAATGTGATTTTTAGGTTATTCCTGAGTTACAGGATTAAAATATCATTAGTATTTTAAGGCCTCTGTCTGATATTTTTGAAAAAATTTGAAATCTCCCCGAGTAGTGGAAATCTATGAAAATACTTAGAAATATAAGTTGCATTCTTTTGTAGGCTTTTGCCTGAGGTTTGCGGATGACTTTGAGATCTCCCTGGATGAGTGGGGTCCCCAGGACAAGGATGATATCGTGATGAACGCCTGTGTTGTCCCTGAGGGAACATATGAAGTGTGCTCACAGACTGTCACTCACCAACCACAAGGTCAGTTTATTTGTCAATTTTTTTGTTTGTTTTTTTGCTTTTTTTATTTTTTGGAGGTTGTGCAGAAAAATTGTAACAAAAATATTGAACTGATGTGTCAAGTAAGAAAATAAGAGCATATTTAAATGATATGCAAGCATGGCTATTATTGCTGATTAATAGAGATATATCTGATATGTAATTCTTCCTGTAAAATGACTAATGCCATTAGCACTTTGACATTAAACAAACATGAACAGAAATTCAGATATTACCATGTGATACTTCAGACACGTCAAGCCATGGAAAGATGATATTGAACATCCTATGGCACATGAAGGGGATTGACGTCCATCTTGACACTAGTATTGGGAAGAAACTGTCCGCACTGGGAGTGACCGTCACCTCACTGACCGGGGAGGAAGAGGACGTGGTGGATGGAGAGAATGTGGAGAGTGTGGGATTTGACCAGCAGGTAGTGTGTGTGTGTGCTGTGCGTGCGTGCGTGCGTGCGTGCGTGCGTGCATGTAGGAGCAGCAGCAGCCGCCGCCTTGAACTTTCCATTCCACAGGTCAGATGTCTTTAGTTGACTGGATAAAGAGATTTGTAAACTGAACACTTTTGGCTTCATATTTTATATGCATAACGCAAGACTAGTATAAAAATTTGGAATGGATGAATGAACAGTTTTCTCATTTGCTTTGCAATAAAAAGCAAATTTCCCGAAGATTGGTGATTGACATATGAATAATATATATAATGTATTGTAATCTTAGGCTGAGCCAAGAAGGAAGCTCAGCAGTGTGTTTGGCACTCTGCCAGAGTTTGCCTACGACATGAGCCTGGAGCCCAAAATGAGGGCCAAACTGATTGAGAAGGAATTGATAGAGCAAGCCAAAGTGGTGGAAGATCTCAAGTAAGTGTTTGATTTGTTTTCCCACATTTTTACATTTTTGACTTGCAGTGACTGTCAGTGGATGATTTTCTGACTTCAATGATGTTGTTTCCAAATATTTCAGCAATTTTTCCTCCATACAACTCTGTACCAGTCAAGTATCATCTTTCTAACAACTTTTAAGCAAATATTTCAACTTTTTACCATTTTTTATCATCTTTCTACCAAATTTTAATCCAATATTTCCACTTTTTCCTCCAGACAACTCGGAGCCAGTCGGATGACGGTGGAACAAGAGGAGCAGAAGATGCATGAGCTGGAGGCCGCTCTGTTCCATGACTTTAGGAGAGACGTTATTCAGAAACTGAGGAAACAAAGTGTCAGGGTGAGAAAAGAGAGACAAAGGTCTTCTGAATTAATCCAAATTACCATATTGTGTGTTTTTAGACTTTTTTTAAAAGTTCCACTTTCATCTTGGAGAAAGGAAACAATTTTGGGTTTCAGTTTTGAGACATTTCTGCTGCAATCTACAGTGTGCTGCATATGTTTTCTGAATGTGATGAATGCAATTGTAATTTGCATAAGACGCATGTGCACATACACACAAACTGCCTGTTACGCATTACTCATTAAGATCAAAATGATGTAATAATATTTATTTATTTACTTATTTATTTACTTATTTATTTATTTATTTATTTATTCTATAGGCTACTGCTCTGAAGGACAAACTTGGTCTTGGCTACAAGTCCACACACACGCGTTCCAAGTCTGTGGCCGCTCCCACCTATAGACGTAAGACCGTCGACCAGGATCAGCTTGCGGCTTACAACGAGGAGTTATTTGGGTCGGGTCACACACGGAGAATGTCACTAGAGGGCATGGACCTGCATAAAGTGACATTTGGTGAGACGGGGTGAGTACTGTACTCTCATAGAGAGTTGGAATGACTGTACTTTGTGTGTATTTAGGAAAAAACATCCCCCTTTTTATATCAAGCTGCACAGTTTTCTGATGTCCACCACTTTGAGAAATTGACACAGGGTGTCTGCACAAACTTATAGCTAACATCTGCATCTATTGTTGCTGTGGCAGACCTCTTGAACATCAGTGTTCAAGAAAACCAAGTTACTCATTATTCCCAAACTAACAGAAATGACTCTCACATCTAAAATGCATCTCATATTAAAAAAAAAAACAGCCTGATTATATCATTTTCTCACTTTAATTTCATTGCATTTTGAATTAAAAAGCCAGCCTGATTGGATTATTTTTCTTAATTTTTTTTTAATCCACCGCAGGACTCCCACCACAGACACCAGTGACTTCCTGTCCACTACGGTAGATGACCCCTCAGGCTTCCAACTGTCCTACAGAGAGGAGGACGAAGAAGAAGAGGAGGAGGACGAGGGGGATGGTGGCATGCCTTCACGCCCCAGACGGAAGCAGCTGTCTCTCCACGAGGTGTTTCACTCCAGCTCAGAGGAAGATATTGAAGATGCGTATCTAAGACAGGCTGCACAGGCACATAGGTAATACTGTATAGTACTGTACAATGCATTTTAAGAGATACAGTACAATGTGCTGAGTTGTAGTAATGTCACAGAGGTCCACTATCCAGCATAGTCAAAAAATAACACTGGGAAAACAAACATTTTTCATCAAACATCTTATTTCCCTAATCAGGAACCGTCGTGACATTGAAGATGGTCTTGACCGCCACACGGGCTCCACCCCCAGTATGGTCAGCACAGGGTCCCAGAAAGCCAACATGGCCGCACAGCCCAACATTGACTTTGAGTGTGACATCAAGGTGGAGATAGACAGTGGACAGTGTGTGCTCCACCCCAAGGAGAAGAAAGAGGAGGAGATGGAGGGGTTCTCTGGGAAAAAGTAGGTCATTATTTCATGGTGAAGTTTTCACAATATAAGAATTTCAGTAATTGATGTGGGTGGTTCTCATGGAAAAAAATAGGTCAGCCATTGATTGAAGGTTTGTTAGGGGAAGAAAAAGCCTTTTAATGGAAGGATTCTCTTGAAAGTAGTAGGGATCCTAAGAAAAAAGGAGATCAAGATTCAGAAGTCTATGTTTCTTGCAGAGTTTTCTTTCCAGGTTTTTGGGGTATAACCAACAGGTAGAATAATAGAATCTATTATTTTCACATTAACTTCAGGACTAAAGCCATGAGGACAGCGTCAGTCCCAGACAGTGTCTCTCCTCTGCCTAAGAAGAAGACATTAAGGAAACAGGAGACAGTCCCCCAGGCCATGCTATCACAGGGCAGACTGCGTCAACTGACAGGAACACAGAGCCAAACTGATCTCACGCTCTTCTTCCTGCCAGGAGTTAATGTGAAGGTGGGGGATTGAGTTTTGTAATGGATTTTTTTCATTTTTTTGAAATTAGAATTTTTATTTTGACCCTCCACAGCGATATCTACCAAGGTAGCTCAATTTCTCCTTATTTATTTATTTATTTTTCAATCACCACCAAAATCTAAGTGATTTTAAATTACCAGATTTTGGACCTATTCAGAAAATTTAACTTAAGTGCACCAACATCTTCTAAAATTAGACTTAACTAACAAAAGCAAAAACACACCCTCCTAGACATAGATAATATTTCTCATATTTTCCTCTCCAGGTCCACTACAACTCTAAGACCAGTACCACCGAGACCCCGACCAGCTCCCTGAAGACTGGACTGGATCCTGCTGAGGTGTTTAAGGAGGCTGCTGACTCCTCTGTGACTGTGGTGAAGAGAAGTAATGTAAAGAAAGCAAATCTGTATGCCTGGATATCTCTGGAGAAACTGTCTGAGGTAATGACATGACTGGTTATTTATAACATGAAGATACATGTTCTTGGACTTACAAAGCATACTTAAATTGTACATAGCATACTTTAATTGCTTTTAGTCAGTAAACATATATGATCATTGATCTAGCAAAACAAGCCATTGCTTTGAATCAAGTTTACCTCTACTTTTAAGTAACTGCGTTGATTTTTAAAAAGAGTAAATAAAAAGAGAAAAAAAAATTATAAATCTAGGTGTACATCTCGTTTAAATATTTTTATCTTTCTTACTGTCTTTTAGCTTATTCCTCAGTTATGTATTTCTGTTTCTAGGAGATGATAATAGGTCCATCTCTACTGGACTTCCTGGAGCAGGCTTTGGAGTCTATCCCAATCCAGTCTCATCCCTCTACTCAGACTAGGACTACCAAAGGTAATACAGATCTGCTTTTTTCCTCCTCTCTCCCCCCTATTTATTTATTTATTTATTTATTTATTTATTTATTTATTTATTTATTTATTTATTTATTTTTGACAAATATATTACAAATTTGTTTCATGCATTCTTATTATATTCAAAGCTTTGGCTGTACTAAGTAAAAAAATATAAAATAATGAAAAATAACTTGAAATGTTAAAAAGATGGAGACTGCTAATTTATCCTCTTCACCTTTGGTGTTCCAGATGACTTTATGGGCAGTATCCTGACCCTTGACCTTGACTCCTCTGCAGCCTCAGTTTCACCTGTCGCTGCTAGCTCCTTCCCAGTGGATGTTATAGTCTATGTCAGGGTGCAGCCCTCTGCAATTAGGTAGGCTACAACACAGGGGATTGCTACAGATATTGAGACTGGAAAATTATTGATTCTGGAAATATAGATAACTACAACAAAAATGTTCATCTATAAATGTACCATGGTACAATGGCAAAATTCTAGAATTTGGGGCTTAAGATAACTGTCAGTGAATATGTCTAAGAAATTTCAAATAGCAAATTTTTAGGTTCAAGGAGTGAAAATTACTGTCAGTAATCTTAGGTTTGGATTATAACTAACAGAAATTTCATTATAACTTGCCAAGATTTAGGGCTTTCATTTTTTGTCTGATGTTTCTTTTTATGACACCCCTTGTTGAATTGTTTCACTTGTAGTGTTGTCTTCATTCCAGGTTCAACTGTCTCCCAGTCTCCAAAGTAGAATGTCTCCTGCAGCTGCCGTCTCTGGACTTAGTGTTCTCCACAAAGAGGACTGACGTAGAAGGAAATATGATCACTGAGGGAACGCCACCCTCCAAACACAAAGTTACAAGTACGTACCTCACAATTCCAATTTCAGTTTCCATGAGTATTTTCTGGACTTGGTCTTATAACAAAGTCATTTCATGGCTTATTTCTTCATGGACGCAGTTTTGCTTTGAATATTGATGAAAATTAAATTAAAATTAACATGTATATATTGAGTACTGTATTGCTTTTCTTCATATTTTCACCCACCAGCTCTCCTGGCGGAGGAGAGAAGATCCAGCAGTAGTAGCGGATCTCGTAGTCGTAACAGCAGTGGTAACAAGTTGAGGCTGGGCAGTACGTCCTCAGAGCTGACCTCTAGTGGCGGTCTCAGTGTTACTGGCTGTCTCTCTGACTTCTCCTTCTACATATTCCATCCCTATGGTGGTGCACAGAAGAAACCAGCTTCATTGCATGCTTTCAGTGGTGAGTTCTTAAAAGTCAAAGTTCCTATTGAGTTAGAATAACTTTTCATTACCACCTAGTAAATTACCTTACGATTATTTTAATGAAATTCTCTGTTTCTTCCATTATAATTTTTTAGGAGAGAAATGTGAGTAAAACAGCATAAAGTAAATAAAAATCTTTTCTTTATTTTTCTTTATTTCTTCACACTTTCACAGGAGGGTCAGGCACTAGCATCGGCGCATCCCGTCCTGAAAGCAGAGGAAAAGACTCCCTCAGCCTCAATGTGGAGTTTGTCAAAGTGAACATCTCGCGGACACGGAAGGGTCTGGTAGTGGGCGCCACCTCCTCTGACCCCAGTCTCAGCAGTAGTTTTACCCCAGGGAGGCTGACTAATGACCTGGGGGGCAAACCACAGAATGCCGTCAGGTTCTCTTGTAAGCAGTTTGGATAATTTTTCAGAATATTTGCTTATATATTTTCTGTCACACTATTTACTTATATTTACACAAGAAAGTGAAAGTGCATTCAGCTGTTTACACTTTTCAGTGGTATTTTAGTGATAAATGGATTTTTTTTCTATAAAGTCATTAATTGAGGAATTATAAAAGAACCTTAAATGTCTTGGGTTTTACCAGGTATCTGTGACATCGGCTCAGCCACATTTAAATATGACATGCGTCGTCTGTCAGAGATTATGGCTCTTCCCAAGGCTTGGTACAGGAGAGCACTGGCCAGAAGGTTGTTTCTGGGGGAAGAAACCGTGGCATGGACTGAGCAAGAATTTGGTAAGGAGTTTGAGTCTTTTTCCTTCATTTGGTTTACTGAGGTTCCATTGAGTGAGTCGGAGAGAATCATGTTAACAGATCCTTTGTTTCTGTTTTGCTTGGATGTATTGTTCATGCATTTTGGAAAGACAGTGATTGTTAAATGAAACTTGTGGTATTTTCCTAAAACCTGGTGTTTGTTTAATAAAAGTGCTTCTGGTGGCTTTGATTGATTTTTATTAATGGTAAAACCATTAGTTTCTGTATTCTTGAGCTTCATGTCGGATGCATATATACCAGCCTTTATTTTCAATCCTCCATTTAGACCTGAAAAGTGGGCATATATGATGATTTGAAAATCAAGAAGTTGGCTTGCATTGACATTGAGACTTCTGGTATTATTTTGAGGGTGTTTCTTTGCTAGAGCCTTTTATTGCTGTTATAAAGTGGAAATGTGTGTCTCTGATGGTGTGGGGATACTTTACTCTTATATTTTATTCTAAATTGACCAGTTTGTTTTGCATAAGAAGTTCAATCTTTTTGTGCACTATTTTTTCGTATGTGGTGAAGAGTTAAAAGTTTGTTACTGTAAGTGTCATTTTGCTTGGTATAATTTATTATTTGAGACACAGTGCATTTGAAAAAGTGTGTTCTTAAACATTCTCATCTTACATTGTGCTTCTGTTGTAATACACTCCAAAGAGTTCCAGTAAGTGTGCTGTATCCTTTGATCAAAGTGAAATTGAATATCAGTTTTCAAATGAAAAGAAACCATGAATTGCAGTCTGTTTCTCAAACAGCACAAAACATTTCAAGTTAAACTACTAAAATCATAACCTCTGGACCTTATGTTACACCTCAACCAATTTTCTGCAAAAGAAAATCGTCAGAAACATTTGAAATCCTTCAAACATTCTTCCTAATTGATAGATGAGACTAACTAAAAAGTTAATTAATTAAACAATAAGCCTATAATTTTTTTTCACAATTTCCAAGAGAAAACAAGCACTTACTGGAACCTACTTCTTTATGTATGTGAGCCTGACCCAGTTTTTGCATGTTTAGACCTTTCGGATACGGCTAGCAGCAGCAGCAGTTTCCCCACCCCTGACTCCCCGCCTGTCGCCCCCTTTAGCCGAGCTAATACATCGCCTCAGATTAACGTTACACACATTGATGAGACTTTTAAGAGCAAGACGCATCACAGGCGACTCTCCTCTGGGGACAAAGCAAAATTGAAGCTGAACTTGGACTTCAAAAGGGAGCTCTCCACAATTGCTTCAAGAAAGTCTTCAATAGGTGAGTGTGGATCTATGAGAAAATATTTTTTCTTTTTTTATATCTTTTTCATGTCAAAGGACACAGCTAGCCTTTTGAAGGGTGTGATTATAATGTATTCAAGACATAAGGGCCGAGTAACAAAATCTTTGACAAGCAATGGGCAAAGCAACATGAACACATGCAGAGTTGAAACGGTTTTTGAACATTGTTTTTTAACCCCATCATGAGAATAACAACAATTTATTAATAACTCTTGAGTTACTGATATGGAGAAGCATTGGCAATTGATTTGATTAACAATGTACCATGTTGTATGTAATGGAGGTCCTGTTATTGTATTTTGGTTTGAGATTGGTTGCTATGCATGCACTTGGCTTTTTGAAAGTGACAGTGCTTGAGGAAGGAATTGAAATGGAATGTAAATGTTTTGTTATGAAGTTATTTTCCACTTTATTCATTATTTAGTATGTTTCCCAGGTTATTTAAGAAAATGTGATCAGATATGTTCAAATAATTAGATCCGTTCCACTTTTAAAGATTAATTCACTTTCAGAGACCCATGAATCACACTCTGCTCCTGTCCTAGGATGTTCACAAATCATTCCAATAATTAAAAGTAAGAACATATCATCCTGAAAACGGAATGGTTATGAAGCCCCATTGCACTGAAATGCACTATTTCCATTGTCTGTTTCAGCACTTATACTTTAAAATTTGTTTTAGATGTACAAAACATCCATATTTACCATCCACTGTGTTGTGCCGTAGATTGATTTCAGAATTTGTTGGGAGGTTCACAGTATATTCCAACAAATAGGATTAAGATCACGCACTTATCCCCGCAGATGTGATGCTTATAAAAATTATATAGCACTGTAATGTACCTTCATGTTTTTTTTTCAGCACTTTTACCCTAAGTAGTAGGTATTATACCAAACATCAACCTGTGTCAACCATCTTTGGTATCGTTCCCTGATTACTGCTAAGATACAATATTATGAGGAGCCATTACAGTAGATTTTGCAAATTGGTCATTGTGATGTATTTTATTCTTCTGTGTTGTATGAGTTCTTTGCAGCCACACCTTTTTATTTTCATAAAGTGAGATTTTTGTGACATGGGTATAACCTGTTTTGAATTTAGCCTTAATTTTATCAGTTAGATTTTAATCTATATTGTACATATCTGAGATTCCAAATTTGTAAGTAATCATCATGTTCGGTGTTTACAGAGCACTCTGTATTTCGAATAATAGTATAACCATTTATATATACTTTATTTCTTCAGTTATAGGTATTGTTTTAATTTTGAAACAACAGATAGATAACCATGTAATAATAAGAAGGGATATAGTAAATAATCACCAGCCTGTCCAATAATTTTGATGGAAATTGTTTCATCTGCCATATTTCCTTCCAGCATCAACGACCTCCCCGACAGCCACGCCTCCCTTTGGGTCACTGAGGACATCAGGGGGTCATCCAGTGCAACGGTCTATGTCTACATCAGGAAGACAGCCACCATCCACGTCAGGCACCCCAGTGATGTCACCGCGGCTGTTCAAGGCACAGTTCAGCAATGCCTCCAGACTCAGCAAGGCCTCCAGTACTGGGGGAAACACAGGGAAAGGACCAACCTGGGAAACACTGGTGCTGTACTCTGTGAACCTGTCTAACCTAGACCTACAGGTTAACATGGGGAATGTCATGGGAAATACTGTGTAAGTTAAAACATGGGAAATACTGTATTAGTTAAAACATGGGAAAAGTCCTAGAAGAAACTAAGAATAAATATCGGAATGTCAGGGCATTAATGTAAGCAAAAATACATAACATTATGAGTAATACAAAGCCTCATAGATACTACACTAAGCTGATGAGCAAGAATCAAATTTAACTTGTAATTATCATGAAATGTTTTATATTTTCATTCTAGCTGGTCCACCAAAGAGATTGCCTCAACAGGCCGTTTCTCAATTGACAGCAGCGGGCAGAAGAACATGAGAATCACTGCAGGGTTAGGGGGCTCCAAACTTGATGCCAAGGGTGGAATTGTGGGTGGTTGCATCGAACTAAGACAGATCGATGCTTTCTGTGAGTGTGTTTTTACGAAAAATGAAAAAGGCTAAATGTGATAACTAATGTATGGAAATTATTGTGAGAATTTACTTCACATATCATGTGTCACCACCGTCTTCTGTGTCTAATGAAGAAAAGAAAAACATCATTAGAATTTTACTATGCTTGCAAGTTGTTGATTCATCCTCCATTTTTGACCATCTTCTGAGAGAAAAAATCAGATGCCCACCAATGTAAACTTCAAATTTTTGACGGTCTTCTGGAAGACCCAAAAGACGGCTTCCATCCTCCTCTGAAATTAGCAGAACTGGTTCACTCAAAGTCTGTTTTATCCTACTACACTGTTTCAGTCCAAGTCAGCGAGGATGCTGGCAAGAACCCTGACCACTCGGCTGGCCTAAAGCTGTATGCCATGGAGGGACGGCTGGACTACATGGGGTCCAGTATACTGATGACCAGGGTCAGTGAACTGTCCCTGAACTTAAAGGATGAGTGGACGGTGGATATGACCATGCCGTCTAGTACCAAGGAGACACCTATTGCCACAAAACGGTGTGTGAAAATGAGTTTTTTCTGTTGACATGTGAAGTTTTGATACTTCGTTGAAATACTTTCTAGTATGTATGTTTTTTATGTCTTTGTTATCATTTTTCATGGCAGACTGTTGCATAAATCTTGTATTAATTCTTATGAATTTTATGATTCCTAGTAGCATCTTTTTTAAGATGCTTGTATGTTTGCTGGTGACATTGAATTCCTGTGACAACCCTTCTATGTATTCTGTTTAAGACCTTAAGGTTCACTACAAAGGATATACCTATTGCCACAAAACAGTATGTAACCATGAGTACTCTTTATGTATTTTTCCCCTTTTCATCAAACGATATGATATTTTTGTTTCAATTCGATTAACTTTTCTTTTATATTTTCTTTTGTTTTTATAATGATTTGCTCATTACCATATGATGTGTTTTATTTTCCAGCCCAGCCCTGATCTTCATCCATGGAGACCTGAACTGGGACATGTTCCACCTGATGTTATCCAAGTCCACCACACCAGATATCATCAAGATGGCCAGCAAGCTGGAGGAGTACTTCACGCAGCAGTATAACAGCAGTTTACGTGCCTTGTCTGGACTGGGGCCAATAGCTGCTGCCGTTACAAGACAGAAACGACGAAGACATTCACAAGATTGTAAGTAGCAGAAGGGCTTTTTAATAATAACCATGCCTAGGGCCATCTTATCAGATGCCTAGTACAATTCTTTGATGGCAGCAAATATCCAGCTTATTGCTAATTTGAGTATTTTTAATTAATTTTTTTCTAGCCATGTCCATCACAGAACCAGAAGACGAGATCAAGCTGCACCGTAACTGGCAGAAAGTTTTAGAACGCGTCTCAGGCATCCAGCTCTCCATGTTGCCCTCCCCTCTCCCTGAACTGGGGACCATTGTGGGTGGTACCATTAATCTCCATGGCAACAACCTATCACTGGCCTGTTTCCATGGCATCAACTTTAGGTCCAAGTCCTGGGCGCTGTTTGTTCTGAATGAACCCACCATCTCATTTGCCACTGAGGCCCAACATATTTATAATGAAGATCAAGGTAAGGCTGCAGACATTTCAGTCACAGTTCTAAATAAAAAGGGAAAATTATTGATGAGAAATGCTCATCTTGGATAATAATGTTTGTGTTATTCATATTTATGTATTCTGCCTTCCTCTTTGTCTCTCATTTTATTTTCTTATTGGTGTATTGTTTTGTTACACTATACATGTCTATATCAAAGCATGTTATTTAGGTTATATATATCATGAGGAATATTATAAACCCAGCCTGCCTGTAGTTTTCCTTCTCTTAATCTGTACTAAGCACACAGTGGCCAGGGTAGTAATTTTTTACTTTGAGCATTAAATGCATGTTTATCTATATGTACTGGCTCTCTATGGTACAATCTTATAAATATTTAACACATGCCTCTAAAATAATGTGAATGCCTTAGGAATTTTTTCACAGGGAGACCTACATGTATGTTAAATTATTACATAGCATTTCCCTTCTATTCAAATGTTTTAGGTTAAAACCAATCTGCATTTATGATACGTGATTTATTAGTGAATGAAAGAATAACATTCTGAAGTGTTCCAAAAAGAAACAGAATACAGATAACAGTTAATATATTGTTGCTTATAGATTAAAATTACACAAGTTACGGAAGGAAAAGACAATGAAATATGTGTTCATCTAAGTAAATAGTTAAAGAGGCTACTTCCCATTGATTATGTACACATTTTATTATTCCTGGATTATCTTTTTGGTCTTTCCAACATTATATATATGTAAAAGTGAGCCTTTCAAACCCACTTGTGTGTTTTTGTCTTCTTCATGCATCTATTTAACCTTTCTCTCACTGGGCGCAATAGCTTTGCTTTCACAGCAATTTCTACAAATACATTTACAACATACAATACACAGCAGTACTGTACACACAATAACAGTCAGAAGAAATAGAATGACATCCACCAGGTAATACTGGTACCATGGCATGGCAGCTGACGGAGATCGCAAGTACGAGCCGCCATGTTTAAGGACATGTTCTATCCAGTGGGCTGCTTGCTGCTGTGCCGTCCATTGCTGGTCATGATAGATGACAGATAGTTTCTTAGCTGTGTCATAAAATGAGGAGTTATGAATCATTTTATTGATATTGTCCACAAGTGCCTCGGTGGAGAATTCTGTGATGTCCATTGTTAGTGACAGCCCCCTGTGTTGAAATTTGTTACTGTTGTAAACCTGGTCTGCAAAAAGTGGGAACCCCAGTACTGGAATCCCATGGTACAGTGCTTCAAATGTTCCTCCATTCCCACAGTGGCTTATGAACAGTTTTGTGTTGGGATGAGCCAGGAGATCATTCTGTGGCAGCCATAATGACAGCTTGATAGGCTCAGGAATACCTGATGGTTTGGGGCCGGTGAACCTCCATATAACTCCGTAGTCCAGTTGTTCAAAAGCAGCCAGGAATTTTGTGGTAATGTGCTCTGGAAAGTAGTTTGTCCAGGAACCAAAACTGACCACTATAACGCCATTTTTATGAGCATCCATGAACTTTTGTAGTTCAGGAGAGAGTGGTTTCCCAGGCTGGGTGTTCATTCCTCCTGCAAAGATCGTGTTGGGCATCGTTGGTTGAGGGTAATCTATGGCAGGGTGCTTCCCAGTGACTATAAACAACTCTGAAGCAGATATCAGCTCTGGAAAAGTTTTCTTGGGCAGTCCTGGCAAATAATCTATGAACAAATTTTCAGGATACTCACCTGGCTTCAGTAGGACTGCAAATAGTTTGTACATCAAGAAGTTTCCCATCCTCTGTGAGAAAGTCATTTTATCAGTGTAAGCTCCGGTGTTAAATGGATGTGGAATGAAGGATGGAAGAAGGGAAATCCCTGACAGAGGATGTGGTATGAATGAAGAAGTGATATATGGAATGCTATGTTTGTATGGCAGTAAATATGAGGTGGGGAAGAAGCCAAAAGCGTTGTGCAGCACTGCCATGTCTATCCCCAGCTCCTTGATTCTGTTATTAAATATGTCATCTTTTAGCATATCTTCAGTGTACTCCGTAGTCATCAGTTTCTTGACCTTATTCCTAAAAGCTATTGCTTTAAATGGAAATATTCTTTCATAAGGATCGTCAAAAAAGGCCAGCAGTCCATTTCTCTGCTCCTCCTTATCCTCAAACAGCATGAAGTCGGCCGACCTTGTTTTGAAAGTTAACAGAGGAACATGTTCATTATTAGTCAGGGTGGTGGGGAGATACGGGAGGGCGTGTTCTCCCACAGCCAGATACCCCTGGTGCCCTCTATCCACCAGTCCCAGAATCAGTGTCTGGAGCTCTATCAGCTGCCCTTTCACTGGGAACACTATGCCTAGAAATGTAGCACTTTCTGTATATTGGCACAAGTAGAAAGAAAATAGGAAGACTATCATCTGTCCACATGGCTCCATTTTAGGACTCCCTTGTCAAGGTGTGTTCAGACAGGCTGTGCTGCTATCGTTTTAGGTCTAATATGTATAAAAATTCAGATGGCCAAAATAGCTGTGTGATCTTGGATTTAAATATCTTGAACACATGTGAGATGTCCCACACCATCAGAAGACAGTTGTACAGGCTCAGTCCTCTGTTCCTGGGACATACTCATATCTGGCAGATTGATCTGTTGACACATTCTGGGGTCAAAGGAAGTTCATTTTTAGAACTTGTCTGAGCACATTTAAGTACAGTACACTTTAGCCAACAGGTAATTTTTTTTATGGTTTGATGATTTAAGTCATGCAACAAAATAGGACAACTTTGACTTCCCTTTATGTAGATGTGGCATGTGAAGAGTGAACCATTGCCTGAAGGAAAAATTCTTGGCTTTCAAATAAGTCATTCATCCTGGACACACTAAGTGACACACTTGTTGTATTTCATAAAGTGCCTGCAGCAGAATTTTTGTAAAAGAGCCATTGAAACATAATTACTGTATGTAGAAAGAAACAAGTTTATTCAGGGATTCAAGGCCCCCGCCCCATATTACCCATACATGTGTTTTACAATAGCAGTATATTAGTACTGTTATCCATGGTATGCCATATCAAAAAGAAATAAATAGATAAATGGAATAAATAAACATATAATAATAACAATAAATGAAATAAAATAATAATTAAATCACTTTTCTTACTGTGTATGTATCATTCCATGACATGTATTTTTTTAACAATAATATTAATTTCATTTACTTTAGTAATCTTCTTCTGTTCATTTTACCCATGTAAAGTCTACTGAACATTTTATATATTAATTTATTATTAACATTATTATTATTATTATTATTATTCAATCTTCACCCAGCGGCGACCCATGCTGTCCAGAACTTGTCCTTCAACCTAGGCCACAACGTGACTCAGCCTACCAACGTCAAGCACATGGCCACCATCTGTAAGATCTCGCGGGGGTACCACATGCCCCCACCCTTCACCAGTGTACAGGAGTGGTTCCACTATGCCTTCTCCTCTAATGAAGTCAGAGGTGAGTGGTATATACCAGTCATAGAGTCATTTTGGAGTATTGCTTTTTATGGTGTTCAGACCTTGTGAGACCTGAGATGTGAATCAAATAGATGAATAAAGAAATGAATGAGTAAATAAATGAAAAATTGGATAAATGAAGAAAAAAAGGAAAGGATTGAGTAAACAAACAAATGCTTTTATAAGGCACATTAACTTTTTCAGTCCTGAACACGTTTCCGCCAATGCACAGCGAGGAGGTGGCAGCAGAGAGAAAACTTGGCAGACAGAAGAGTATCACTTATAACCATGACACTGAGATCATCTTCGCTCTTCCCACTCTGCAGCTACACCTGAAGACTGAGCACCTGCAGGGGGAGAAACCCCCAGGGCCTGAGGGTAAGATTGGGAGAGAAACCCCTGGATCTGTAGGGTAAGATAGGGGGATAAAATACCCCAGGGCTGGAGGGTAGGATGGGGGTGGGAGATATAAACAACTATGTAAAATAGTTTATTATTACATTGTTTCCTAAAAAGGGTTTTGCTACGAACTCTTAATATTTTTGATTCTATATATCAGAAAAAAAAAGTTGGCTTTTCTTAAAGTTCTGTTTTTTCCAGATCCTATGCCAGTGGTGGATGTGAGTTTTGTCACGGAGTTTGAGGATCACATCTTTGTTGCCATGGACGCGGAAGTCATGTTGTTCCTCCACGACCTCGTCACCAGTTATGTCAAAGAGAAGGACAAAGGTGACCTAATAACCCAAACAGTTGTTCACACCAATAATAATTGCCCTAAATTAGAGTTCATTGTTGCCAAATACACCACTCTTGTGAGTGCAGAACCCCACCAAAATGTCACAAATTTGGCACATGTGATATGTTGAGATGATATATATGGATCATATAATTTTTAAACAGAAAATGATAATGCTTACATTGTTTAATTCTAGGCTCCAGGGTGTCTGGCTATAAGACCCCAAGGTCTCCAGAGACGGAGAAGAAAAAGATCACAGTGACTGATCCCACCAGTGAACTGAAAAAGGACTTCAGAGAGTTCCACTGTAAGACATGGCACCTGGAGCCCACTGTGAGGTAGGTAATGTAAGACATGACACCTGGAGCCTGCTGTGAGGTAGGTAATGTAAGACATGACATCTGGAGCCCACTGTGAGGTATGGGAATCTATTCAGTTAATATTGACTCAGTTCTCTTTTAGATATCACTACCTGCACCAAGGATGTTATTTTTTTACCCTGTTTGTTGTTAGTTAATGCCCTAACTCAAAAGGTTATGGACAAATTTTGATATAAGTAACAGGTTAGGTCAAAAGTCTTAGGATTGATAATATTCTGGTAGGGATCAGTTTATAAATTATTAAGACATTTGATAGGGAAAAACATTTTGAAGGGAAAAATTAATTCCTTTTGTTTGACTTAATGAGCAATACCCACATTTACTTGCAGACTTTTATCCTGGGCTGGCAGCCAGATAGAGCCTGTGGGTGCCGACAACATCCTGAAGCGTCTTGGTTTCTCTCACGCCCGTACCACCATCCCCAAGTGGATGCAGCGTGGCGCCATGGATCCCCTGGACAAGGTACTGGCGGTGCTGGTAGACAAGCTGATCCTGGCGCTCAGAGAGGACGGGACTGAGGAACTTAAGGAAGAGACACAGTGAAAGAAATTAAGGAAGAGACACAGTGAGAAACTAAAGGAATAGACACATTAAGGAGAAAAGTGCATAGGAAGTTAAGTTGACCCTGGCTCTCAGAGGAGGGAAGAGAGGAATTTTAAGGAAGAGACACAATAAAGAGGAAGGAACTGGGAAAATTAGGGAAAACTGGTGAAGAAGAATGCATGGAGGAAAAAACAGCAAAGCAGGTGGTGCAGATGTATAAAAAATAATAATGTAAGGTGTACCTATGGGGTACATCAGGGACATGTAGGGTACCATGCCCTGGGTACCAATTGAAGGATCACCCACTGAGAGGTTGTCATTTGCCATTTATGCCAAATAGTTCCTTATGGGAATGTCTAGAACACTATTTCAGTGCATGCTATGGTGCTATTATTTGTTGAAACTAGAACATTCCTGGACACAAGATGGCGTATATGACGTGTCATGGAGGTCAACTCTTCCTCACTGGTGACCTTGTCCTTATTGTGACCTTGCCTAGGACACTTTACTCACACATTGAAAATGGAAGATAAAAAATCTTAATACATATTGGTAGTTTAAAAATTAATAATGAAAAAAAATTAGTTGAAAGTAGCATGAAAATTGCTTTGTAGCAAAAGCATGGTGTGTGTTTTTTATTGTTTCAGTTATCAAACGTTGATTGATAAAAGTTCTCTTATGAAGTAAGTTCCCATTTATTTTTATATTTTATTTCATTTCATTGTGAGTAGCATAAAATGCATAATTATAGTGTAATGTTATTTTATCTAGTAACATTATTTGCTGTAGGCCTACCTTAAGCTGAACTTTCACATGGATAAAGAAGCTTTAAACTCTTAAAGTGAGCTTTGGAATGATCAGTGATGCGTTCATTCTAGTCCAGGTTTTATGGAAAGGCAGAATAAAAGAGAATGGGTGAGTGGCTATCCCTTCCCCACCCAGCCCTACCTTTTAGCTTCTCCTTCCTTTGAAATGTTTCAACCTGCAAACATAGGGTAACAAAAAAGATCAAACATAGTCCAAGACCCCCCTCTGTAGCAAAATACCAGGCCTTCACATGTTAGAAAAGCTCCACATTTGGAGCATCCATACTGAGGGGTTAAGTTACCCAGCTACTGGTATATTGATAGGGTAAATTTGTCAAGCCACCAAGAATATAATTAAAATTTAGTGGCAATAAAATTATTATTGGATTTTATAAAGCATCTTTTTTTACTTGAAACTCTTGCTTTAAATGACCAGTTAACAAATATTATTAGGCATGTAAAAAGTGTACATGAATTTGTGTAAAGATTGGCTGATTGTCATGCTGTTTATGTCTTGGTGCTTAGATTTCTATTATTACATCAGGATCCCTTTGATGTAAAATTATTGATAAGGTTTTAAATTTCATTGTCTGCTATTCTTTGCTGAATTATTTTCAAGTCTGATGGAAATGCATTTAAATGCTTAAAAGTACTTTTTGTATGCATTTGCATAGCATTTTGATTGATGATTATAATGTTGTTAGTAAACATATCTTGTAAAAAATTATATCATTGTCTTGTACAGAAACAGGTGTATATTTTCTTAGTTTTATCAAGCATTTTTATTAACTCAGTTATTGTGGAGTCATTGTTATTAAAACATAAATCTGTCTATTAATTGTGGTCAGTCTAGTGATATGTATTTTTTTTTTTTATTAAAATGCAATACATTATAGAAATATCACCAAATATATCCACATTCTGGTATGTGTTAGAGTATTGAATAATAGTTTATTGTGATATTTTGTTGGTGAATAATAGTAACAAGTTGAACCAAAAATGTTCTCTTTTTGCTCAGGAAATATGTTAAAATTCAACAAACTCTAACAAAGATAGCAATATTTATGTATGTGAGCCACTTTGGGGGATTGTTTTATTCAGTACAGCGAAAAGTAGAAAGAAGCTTCATTAAAATTGGATATGAAACGCTTTCAAGTTTTCTAGCGTAATGAGTATGCTTGTGATGTTCATATTTCCAAAGCGTTGATTCTTTTTGTAACCATGAAATAGGTGTATGATGATATTATTATTATTATTATTATTATTATACAAGTTCATTCTCAGTTGCTAAATTAATAAATGTAGAGAGTGCACTTTATTCTTGAAATATCATCGATGTTGTTCTTATTGTGATATATATCATGACATAATATATTGTATTCAACAATTTAATAAATATTAATAATAATTACCGTATCACAGCTGTGTCTTCCTTAAACCATGGCACTTAAAAACTTATAAACCAATTGAAATTTGAATAAATAATCCAGCAATACCGGTCTGTCACGATCGTGCGTTGACGGTCCCTTTTTCTTCCACAAAAATTCAAACCATCCTTCCTTGTTCATGTCAATATATAGTAAAGCAAAAAGGGCAGATTCGTTAAGATCTACTGGTAAGTTCATAAATGAAAATTATCAAGCACGTGCCGAAAAACGCCCATACGGTTAGCTTACGTTTGCTTATTTACTAGTAAGTTGTTTAAATAGAAATGGTACAAAACATCCAAGTACAGGAACGGGTCGATCAGTGGTATCGGAGTAACTGCACACTGCTCCTTGCTATAAACTAGAGCACTTCGAGAGCGCAGACCTTCGCCAAGGCAGCAATTTTTGATGATTGATTGATTATTGATCCGGATCGCCACCAAAACCTAATCATCTGTTCCATGGCCTACTTCTGACAGTTACTGAAAATTTCATCAAAATCGGTATGTAACTTTTTGAGTTATGTTGATGACAAACAGACAGAGAGACAGACAAACAAACAAACGGGTGAAAACATAACCTCCTTGGCGGAGGTAAATATTTCTGTTGGCGCTAAAATCCCATAGCTGCAAGTTCATGCAGACAGAACCATGAGAACGGAACTGGTAGTGTATTTTGTTAAACACAAACACACAACGCGGGCTTAGAAAAGTTTATTGGTTGATTACTAAATAGCACTACACTAAACTAAAACCAAAAACAATTCTTTAAAGCTCAGAGTCGCGTAGCATTCTTATGGTACTCAATGCAAAAATACAAAATCCCTTGCTACAGTAAATGCTGTAGGAAAGCCCATGGCCAGCTATTCATCTGATAACTTAATGTATGTTGTGATATCTGCCACGTTTGAAAAACAAATCAAACTGTGGTGTTATAGTTCGAGACAAAATTTTTTTTATGCAAGCGAACAGTAAACAACGTACCAGTGTCATTTACACACGTCATTCGCGTTTATGAGGAGGCGGATCCTTTCATCTTTGGCCGATACCTAACTGCGCCAGAGGGAAGTCCATATTACTGTGATAATAAGCTAGAGTGGCTACCAATGTTCCGATGTGATAAAACTGTTTCAGTGTCTTAGAAAAATTGATTGCGAAAAAGCATACTCGCGTTTGCTCTTTTTTTTTTTTTTTTTTTTTTGGGGGGGGGGGGGGGGG